AAGATTTCTTCAATGTCATCCGGAGTATAATGTACGCAAGCAAAAGACCATTGATATACTGCGGAAACAGGCTCACCAACCTTCATTCATTCTTGATTGGTTTAACTGCTTTAAGGAAATAAAAGAGAAGCATGGGATCCAGGACTGTGATGTCTACAACTTTGATGAAATGGGGTTCAGAATAGGAATTGGCCGTGATCAGTGGATTATAACGCGAGATCCTTGGAGGAGAACCTATGTTGGCAGTTCAAATAACAGGGAAACTCTTACAATCATTGAAGTGATTGCAACTGACGGCTTTACTATCTCTTCTTTATATATTCTCACTGCAAAGCAGCTACAAGAGTGGTGGACAGATGAAATAGAGAAGGATGCCATGATAGCTACATCTGACACTGGCTATAATAATGATCAGATCTCTTTTCAATGGATTCAGCACTTCCATCACTCCACCAAAGCCCGCATCAAAGGAACCCACCGTCTGCTTCTATTAGATGGATTTGATTCTCATTGCATCCTTGAATTTATGACTTTTTGTGACAAGCACAACATCATACCTTTCTATTTAATTCCTCACACTAGTCATCTTTTACAACCTCTGGACGTTGGTGTTTTTCAGGCTTTTAAACATCATCATTCTGCCGCAGTTGAGGAAGCTACGCGACATGATTGTGAGAAGTTCACAAAGGTTGAATTTCTTCATGCTATCACCTCTATTTGGAAAGCAACATTCAAGGTTCATACAATCAAGCAAGGATGGAAAGCAACTGGCCTGGTTCCATTCAATCCGTTAGTTGTCCTTAATAAATTACGTGAGTTTGAATCAACTCCTATGGAATCCGAGGGGTCTGTTTCCACCAACTCAGAGACCTGGTATACTCCTTCCACCATACACCAATTCAATCGATATAAGCGGAAACTGGAGGCTTTGGAGGAGGATGACAACTATGACACGGACTATATTTATATGGGATTACAAAAGCTTTATAAGGGTAGTATTGCAATGGTCAATACAGTGGCTCTTTTGCAGGAGGAGCTAGCTCAAACCTCTGCTGCCACACTGGCTCAAGAACACCACCTTCGCGGCTCGCGGAGGGTGGTTAATAAGGGAGGTGTCATATCCGCAAGCTACTGCCGCAAAATGACGGCAATTAATAAGAAGGTTGATATAGAGGAGGCATTGAAGAAATTGCGGCCAAAATGGAAGAGGGTTATGAAGGAACTTAAGAGGTATTGCAGAGATAAAGGCATTTATGTGAATGCCACCAAATTTACAAGGAAATCTCAGAGATAATTCATTTACACTATAATCTACTTGTATATATAAAATATAGAGCAATTCGTTGAAAAATTAGCTGAATGTCATGGGTATAGGCAGGCAGTAACGTTGAGATGGCGGATTACGTTGAGCTGGCGGGCCCTCGTAAAGAGGGCCCGACCGGCAGGTTGCAGGTGAGCATTAGCTTACTAAGCCTCTAGGGGCCCGGTTAAGCTTCAATATCTTTATAAGAGGCAGCAAGTGGTCACAGCTAGTCAGCTACTCAAACATATAAGCTTCCGGGAGGATCTCTATCAGCAACTCTTTGTCTTTGCCAGCTCAACCCATGATCTGCCATCTGAATGGCTGAATTCACTGAATCACAAGCAATTTTCATTGCCAAAGAGCCTTGTTTGTGTATGGTGTCAGTATAAAAGACTCGATGTTTGGAGGAATTCCATACAATGGAGGGATCTGCTAGCTAGAAATAAGGTTCAATAAATTACCAACTACCAAATAATACCATAGATTACCTATATAAACCGATAATCTTAGGTAAAATTTACACCAATGAAACCGCGCTAATTCTGAAAAACATTTACGGACGAGGGGATGCATTGAGAGGCACGTGATTAAGCAGCATCCACTATTAACTAAATAGTTATAGTCAACTAATTAGTAACAATCAGAATATTGTCTTAGAGGACCGTTATCAACCTTGTTGCATTATGTGACTCTAAGCAAGCTAGCTAGCTAGCTACTAATAAATACATATGTGCACGTGACCTCGGGTAGCCGGGGAATTCCTCTCTAACATATTGATGACTCAGCAATTGTGGCAGGTGGGTGCGCCACAACCAGTCCCAATCGAGAAACCTTCCAAGCAACCAACCTCAGGCTCCGCTGAGCAGAAAGCTTTCACCAAGGCCGATATCAAACTAACCGCCAACATCTTGCTTATGCTGGGAATTCATCCACGCTGCGCCTTACATGTTACAACATCTGTGCACAGTTCATACCGTTTCTAAATACCGCAGATCATCGTTCATTTGACCCGGTATCTCTCTGTTGTTCTCTTCACCTTCTTTTCGAGGTTGTCGACTCCCCTTCTCTCCGCCGCCGACGCCACCTCACCACTAAAATCTCACCTTCACAGACAACAGGTGCTCCCGCGACCATGTCTGTCTCCATCAAACTGGGTACTCCCCTTGCAGAGGCTCTTAACGAGGCCATACAACCGAAGCTGGTCGAAGTGGGTTGGAGCACGGGTGGAGGAGATGACTCCGCTTTGGCTGAATACGTCATTCTTATGCTCGTCAACGGCAAAACTCAGGATCAGATTGCTTCGGAGTTGGCAAACGATCTTCTAAGTCTTGGCCCAGAAGATACAGAAGCTGTTGATTTTGCAAAATGGCTATTTGAACAGGTCCACGAACTGAACAACAGGATAAATGTGGCGGCTCCCGCAACAGAGCAACCTGCTGCGTCGCAAGCTATTCCTTCAATTTCAGCACAGCAGGGCAACTCACTCTCAGCGGTTGCACATGCGGACGATGTAGGGGATTCTGCGATGAGTGGTGATATTGCTGCTGCAGGGCAGGATGGTAATATGTCAGTCCAACATTTCCCCATGCTTTTGTTTTAGCTGCTCCTCGGCTGACTGGCACGAAATTAAACAGCCCAACCGGTCCAAAGAGTGCGCGAAATTCTAGACAACAACAAGGTGGACGGGGCAGGATGATGGGCGAAGTAAACAAGACCTTGGACCGTGCGAACGACTCCGTCTTACATCGGGTGCGCAATCACCAAGGGTCAGAAAGGATCAACAGCCACTCCAGAGAACCCCCGAAGGCCCCAAGAGGGTTTCAGCTAAGAAATGGACGTGTGCAGTCAGGAAGGCCTGCTGGGCCGATGGGAATGGGCATGGGAATGGGGATGGGCATGGGCATGGGGATGCCTGGTGGCCCGATGCCGAATGCTCCGCCATTTGGAATGGTACCATTAAGCCCTCAACAACAGATGCAAATGATGGCTATGCTGGAAGAGCAGGCTCGTATGATGGCTCAGATTATGCCGGGGATGGTCCCACCTGCCATAAATCCTGCTTTTCAAAATGGTCCTCCTCCAAACCAACAGGGGCGCTCCCTTTTTGAGCGCGCAGAGATGCAACCAAACAGGAACCAACATTTTGCTCGACGGGATCATGTGAATGGCCATTCTTCGAACTTCAATCGGCAAAATGAACATGTCGATACAGAAATGGACACTTCGCATAACGACGCAGAATCTTCAATGGACGTCGATGCCGCCCACGAAGCCCAACCTGCCGAACCAGGACCCAACACCGTCTGTCGATTCAACCTGAAATGTACGAGGAAAGACTGTCCCTACGCTCATCAATCCCCCGCCGCCCCCGAAGGCGTCGTCGTAGACGTGAACGACGAATGCCCCTTCGGCGCAGCGTGCAAGAATCGAAAATGTGCCGCCCGACATCCCTCACCGGCCCAGAGGGCAGAACACCAGGCCGAAGAGCTCTGTCGATTCTTCCCCCACTGCACGAACCCGAACTGCACTTTCAAGCATCCAAGCATGCCCATGTGCCGGAATGGAGCGGACTGTTCGACGCCAAATTGCAAGTACACACATCTGCAAATTGCCTGCAAATTCAACCCCTGTCTTAATCGGATATGTCCATACAAGCATGCTGAGGGTCAGCGGGGCGTGTTTGCGGATAAAGTGTGGAGGGCGGCCGATAGTGAGAAGAAGGAACATGTTAGTGAGCGCAGGTTCGTGACGGATGAGGATGGGCAGGAGGAGCTTATTAAACCTGAGGTTGCTAATACGTCCACGCCGGACGAAGTGAGGGGGCAGGAGATTTTGACTTGATATAATTTCTGTATCTTTCATTTTTGTTTCTTGTCTGATTGTGATGGATGATCTTTTCCTTGAACTGTGATTGGCATTATTTCTTTCCCTTCCTTTCCCTTTTAATAAAGAGGCACCTTTACTATTCTTGTTTCCCCATATTTTTTTTTTCCCCTCATAGTTTCCTCTTCTTTTAAACCATGTACTACACTTTTAAAAGCTACCTGGTATGTACTGACATGACTGGCGTTGGATAGGTAAAGGTTGTTTTATCTATTTGTTCCCCTGTATTTAGCATGAGAACGGATTTCAACTGGCAAAAGGGCGTAGGATATCGAAGAAATTTTTTCTGCACAGCTGAATCCTGGACTATCTCGGATATGGAATGGTGTTTTCGCAGATGAAAGATGCTGTCCTTTCTTCTTCATCTCTTTTGTTTGTTTGGTTCTGTATTCTACTTGCCTTACTATACAGTTCTATGTTGGTATTTAGTTCCGGGTGATTTTTCATTGGCTCTGGGTCTACGTATAGTTATACCCAGGCATTGAAGAAGCAGACAAAATGATGACCTGCAGTGATATTATCATGCCAACCGCTTTCTTCGTACTCCAAGATATGCCATTGCTATTACACATTCCATAATCCAAGCGAAGCAGCTTCTGTCTGAGGAATTGACCTCGAAGTAAGTCTTTACACAAAATGTGCTTAGAGTCGTAGAGCAATTGGTGGGTTATGGCGGGTGAGGTTGATGACAAGCCTTTCGCTAGTCGAATCGGGAAGAGTTCAATCAACACTGCGCATATTTACCACCACCGTCATAAACCACCAAAACTCCGAACATTAGTCACTGTGGCAGAACATATCGATTCAGTTGCAAATGAGCCAGCGATGCTTATTCTGTTGCACCCTAGACGAACTATGGGCGCATGCTCGCCCCAGGTTACACCCATGGGCCCTGTCTAAACGGTGGTTGACAACTCGTCCTGCATCCTTTCGCCGATTCTCCTCCGCTCCGGCCACGCAGAAAAACATCGCGGTGATCGGTGCTGGTGTAACGGGTCTGTCAACTGCATATCGTCTTTCCCAAGACAAAGATGCACGGGTTACCGTCTACGAAAAGTCACACAGACTCGGGGGTTGGTTGCAATCAGAAATAATCGATGTTGATGGCAGGGATGTCCTGTTCGAATATGGACCCCGAACTCTCCGTGCGGGATCTCGGGGAAGCTTGTCAACTTTGGAGTTGGTGAGGCATCTGGCTATAAAACCGTTCCTTCAATTCCACATAGCCATCTTGTATTTACCCTAAAGCTAATGTGCGTATGTGGGAGCTTGATCCAGTTATTCGACCTGGGTCTCAAAAATGATATTTTAGCTACGAAGAACGATTCCCCCGCTGCCTGCAATCGATACATTTACTATCCAGACCACCTAGTACGCCTTCCGGGGCCATATCCTGGTTATGGCTCTCTAGCGAACATCTTGATGAATGTGATACAATTATGTACAGAGCCAGTGCTCTGGAAACTTGCGGTAGAAGTGATCCGCGACCCAAGGAGACAGGAACGTGACCGTTTTATAACGGACGAATCCATCGGAGATTTCATGAAGCGCTGTTTTGGCCCCAATGTGGCAGACATTGTTGGCTCCGCTTTTTTTCACGGTATCTATGCTGGCGATCTGTACAGGCTAAGCGCGCGGACGATTTTACGCATTGCCTGGGACGAATTTCAGCTATCTAAACGGGGATTTGCAACAGAGCTTATGGAATATCTCAATAAAAAACGGTTTACCATGCCTTACGATATTTTCAAGGCGCGCCAGCTTGTTTCTAAGGAGAAAATAACAGAAATCTGTAATTTTGCCGCGGGTAATAACGTTTTTACCCTCCGTAGAGGGTTGGGGCAGCTTGCAACTACACTAGAATCGTCATTAAGGAGAGCACCAAATGTGGAGATCCAGACTGGATTCCAGATTAAATATATCTCTAAGGGAATAGACCCATCACCCATGACGGTACGTCAAATCCCAAATTCTCATATCTAAAAATATTCTTCGTGTCATTCTCTTTCTGGCTAACCACATTATACATGATACAGCTCGGCCTAGCAGACGGCACCTCCTCCAACTTCGACTACATAATCTCCACCACCCCATCCACAGAACTCTCCAACCAACTCCTCAACTCCCCAACTCACCCCCCGCCAACTGCCGTAACAAACCTCCTCAACCAAAACGACTACGCCGTAACCGTCATGGTCGTTAACCTCTACTACAAAAACCCCAACCTAATCCCCCACCGCGGCTTCGGCTACTTAATCCCCCGCTCCATCCCTTTCGACCTAAACCCCGAACGCGCCCTGGGCGTCATCTTCGCCTCAGACAGCAGCGCAGGCCAGGATACGGCACCAGGCACCAAGCTCACCGTCATGCTCGGCGGGCACTGGTGGGATGACTGGCTCCCCTGTGACTTGCCCGATGAAGAGAGCGCCATAGCCATGGCCAAGTCAGTGCTGGCGCGCCATTTGCGCATCGCCGAAGAACCAACTGTTGCCAAGGCGCGCTTGCAGCAGGATGCGATTCCGCAGCCTACGGTTGGGTATGTGTTGAGGATGGAGAGGTTGCATGAGGCTATGGAGGGCCATTTTGGGTCGCGGTTGAAGGTTGCTGGGGCGTGGTATACGGGCGTTGGTGTTAATGATTCGATATGTGCTGGGAGGATTGTGGCGGGGGCGACGCTTGCGGGGCAAGAAGGGGTTACCGGGTTGGAGCGATATGTGCCGCAGAATTTTAAAGGGAGGTTTGTGGAAGAGGGTTAGGTGGAGTGATAGTATGATTTTTTTTGGGTGGTAAAATATTAGGGATATTTCCTTTTCTTTGCAGAATGTAAAATATGCTAGAAGAGGATAAACAGAGGGGCTCTTTAGAATATATTAAGGGATTTGGTTCTCTGTGGGGTTGTGTATTATGAGAATGAAAACAGAAATTATACCCATTGGCTGTGACAATTCGATTCAGCAAGTATCGAGCAGTAGCATCATTCTTTTATTCGGTTTCGTTACCATCATTCTATCCCCAGATATCGCTAATGGTTTATCCGTGCGTATCATCATTTTTGTCCCAAATGCATCGAACGTCCTCCCTAAATTTCAACCCGAGATATCTCACGCTGGTATACTTCTCAAATTCACTAGGAGCCCCCTCTGCGACGCGCAAATAGGAAAATTTTTTAAACTAGCACCGGCAAATCCATGCCCCGACCAACCCCATATTGTCTTCATCCTAAGAGGTTGGTATGTGATTTTCGTGCGCGTGGATGCAAGCCAATTGCATGATCATAGCAACACATGAGTTGCACGTCTGCCCTTCCCCTCATATCTTCGCATGCGGCGGTAGGATGTAATAATATATACACAACCCTCCCTCATCGTCGTGTCATTCGAATTCGCAATTTCAAAACAGTAAATCCCGCGTAGCGCACAGAAGATATCAATCAAGTTGTTTCTCGAACTTCATTTCCATTACCCCCTTCATATGGCTCACGGGCCTACAGCCTCCTTCTTCCTCTCCCCGTCCGAATCAAACCCCAACGCATCTAACTGCCTCACCAGTTCCTGAATCTTGATAACCTTCTCAAACTGCTCGGGTAGCAGATTCTCGCCATTGTCCTTCTTCTCCCTCAGCTCCCTGGCCTGCCTCAGCTTCTTGCGCAGATTGCGGGCTTTCTTCTCCTTTTCAGCTTCAGGATCCACGACAGCATCAGGAGCAACAGCAGCGACATCATGTTCCTCCCCTTTTCCCCTCCAGTTGTCCTTCTCCATAGCCTTGCCCCCAACTCCGCCTTCCGTCTTTATCGACGCAACATTATCACTTGCGACAGCCTTAGCCCTCTTCTTCGCCTCGCGCTTCTTCGCATTTTTGTTCCTCGCAGCTATAGCCGTGGGAGCATCAGGAGATTCATCATTTAAGGTTTCTGCGCCGGGGATACCAGCTCCCTTCCCGCGATTCTTCCATGCCTCAGCTGTGCGGTTTTTGTAGACTTGGATATCCTCTGGAGGGCGATAACCTGGGCGAACTTTGATTTCGCGGCGCTGGGAGCCATCTGGGCGAATGGAGGCTGGGATGTGGCGTTCGCCGGTCAGGGCATTGACTGTAATTCCCGAGGAAGAGATGGCGTCTTTGTCTGTGTCTGTGATGGTGGTTCGTGGCTTTGGGGGCATGATGAATGATGTGTAGATGTGTGTGTGTGTGTGTGTGTGTGTGTGTGTGTGTGTGACTGCAGCGTTGTGTTCTTGTGAAACAGGATTTATGTCCTATGGTAAAGTGAGACGAGACGTAACTAACAGCAAACTAGTTTATCTAACACAGTCCCTGTTAACTTGTTGCATTGTATATTGAGTTGATCTTCAGTTGAGCTTGACGCTCTCTCTTTTCTGCACAATTGGCAGAATCCAAGGCGGAGAGTCAGCTGACCAATCACCGCCCTCTGAATTCCTGACGCTTTTCCTTCGTCTTTCCCTTGACATTCTCATGTCAATTTATCTACAACATCATCGACAATAGCAACAACCTCTTGACGCAATTGTTGCTCTCATATCAAATCCACTCATTCTTCCCGTTGTCTGTTGAAATCCCATCTGTCTCTCTCTTTTGTCATGGCTGGAGTATGTCACTTTCAATTCTCAATACCAGACGTGGAATCAATGCTAATTAGGACTCACCTTTTCCAAAGATCTCCGGAACCATATACAAGCAAGTCTTCCCTCCTCTACTTCTATTCTTCAGTTAATCGAACTGCTGAAAGCTAACCGTATACCTTAGCGTCCTCTTCCGACGAAATGCCGTCTTCCTGAGCTCGATGTTCGTCGGCGCGTTCGTATTCGAAATGTATGTTATTTCTTTTTTTATCCAATGAAAACAAAAACACACTCATTTATAAAGGCGTGATATATGGTGGAATGGATTGAAATTGACAGAATTCTTTCTCGTACCTTTTTTTAGTGCATTCGACTCGATTAGCGACAGAATATTCGACTCCATCAACAAGGGTGTACGTATACATCTTGACCCATTTGCCGATTCCCAGACTGCGTGTTGAGAAGCTAATACTGCATGTACAGAGACAATGGAAGGATATCCGATACCAGTACATTCAGAAGGCCGAGGAGGAGGAATAGATCGGGTTCTTTTTTAGGGAGTTTGATCATTTAATGTGAATTTATTCACATCCGATGACCTGGATGTGAAGCTTGGGAAGAGAAGTGCCGGAGACTGTATATTTATATAAATTAGACAGGTGCCTGTGGAATTTCAAATTTTTTTTTTTCATATTATTCCTGGTTCTGGGGATTCTAGTCCTATGTTTCCGGTCATATAGTTCATATATACATGGGTGCAATTGATTTTCGTAGCCTGGCTGGCTGGGGCGTTTTCTGCATTGCAGCTCCATTTTTTCAGCAGTGGTGTAACTAAGTAGGATAGCCTCTGATGGAGCTGTTGATAAAGGTCTAGAAGAAAACGCTTCATTTTAACAAACATGTATGTTCCCTAACATACATATACAGAGCGAGAAAAATAAAATAAGGCAGTAGACTGAGTTGTGGTTGTTCGAGGCTGCTGAAGTTCGTCTCAGGGCGGGTGAATAGTCATGCCGAAGCGACCCAGCATGTTTGGTATGATAAATAGGGGAAGAAAACCGATTGCCTGGAAGCTGCCCGCCCTAACAATCTGACATCATTACTTGAACATATATCAACAACCTTTCCACCACCCTTTCAACTCAAATTCATATCTCTGAACACTCTAGGATAGGGCTTATTATTGCTACTATCCACTTGCATGTTATCACCACCCCCCACTTCCTTAAACATCTCCTTCACACTGTTGCCCCCCACTTCCACAAACACCAGCAACAACCACCAGCGGCTCAAGATACTATTAGTAACTTGCCCTCAGCCCCCACGCTAGAAGAACAGGAGGACACACCAAAATAAATGACCTGAAAAAGCACGGAGGCACCACATAACACAACAACTATGTTGTCGGATCTTGAACGGAAACTCGGGCGTGCGCTGCTGGAGCATCCCTCAAAGCATGGCTACCGCTACACTGGAGAAGCCAGCCATGACCTCCTCGAGCTCCTATTCCGCTCCTTGACCGGCTATAATGAAGAATATCTCCGCCTACTATTTCCCGACGGTCTCCCAAAGGGCAGATGGAAGCTGTCAGAAGCTCAGGGTGCGGTTGAAGGCGCGGAATACACAGAGGCGGCACGGGGCAAGAGATGCGGGCATATCTTCAAGAACGGCGAAGCTTCATATCACTGTATGACGTGCTCGACGGATGATACCTGTGCGTTGTGTTCGCGATGCTTTGATTCTTCGGATCATACCGGACACAAGTATTCCATTTCCTTGTCGAGTGGATATAACGGGTGCTGCGACTGTGGCGATGAGGAGGCGTTTAAGATTCCTGTTCTCTGTGCGATTCATACGGCGACGGCGGATATTGAAGAGAAGGGGAAATCGTCAGCACAGACTCCAGCCGATCTGGTTGAGAGTATTACAACAACAATCAGCAGGGTTTATGATTATTTCTGCGATGTTATCTCCTGTTCACCGGAGCAGCTCAGGCTTTCAAAGTCCGAGACTAGCATCAGGCAGGACGAGGTTACGTCGAGGCTCTCTTCAGAGTGGTATGGTGGGAGCGATCTCGCCGAGGAGGAGCCAGAGTTTGCTCTCGTACTCTGGAACGATGAGAAACATACGGTTACAGAGGTTGCCAATCAAGTTGTCCGCGCCTGTCGGGAGGTATCGCGGTTTGGAAAAGAAAAGGCTAATGAGACACACGAAATTGGAAGGAGTGTGGTGAAATACTCGAGGGACTTGGGGAATTTACTTGCCGTGTCGAATATTATTGAGCAGATAAGAGTTACCGTTACAGTGAGGTCTGCTCGGGATACATACCGGGAGCAAATGTGTGGAACGATCATCGAGTGGCTTTCTGATATTGCCTCTTGTTATGTTGGCAATGATAGTGACTTGCTCAGGCAGACTGTGTGCGATCAAATGATTCAGCCTTGGAGACTTGGGAGCAGTGCATCAAACGCCAGTATTGGCAAGAAGGGTATCTACGACAATGAGCAGGAGGATAGGATGAGAGGTTACGCTATTTCATTTACGATCAACCCAAATGGCCCCTTTATCGAACTTGCTGCCACGGACGATGTGATGGATGACAACGATGAGGGAGCTATTGAAGAGGACCGTGATGAGGAAGAAGGCGAAGATGATGAGGTCGACGATGAGGAGGATGAAGATATGGATGCTGTCAATCCAGTTCGTCTTAATCTGGAACAAATTGCAGAAGCTTTTGAAGCTAGAGCCAACGCCATGAATGCAGATGTTGAAATGGCCACTGAAGACCACCTAGAAGTTGAGGAGGCAACTCTCGCAGGATATCCTCCACCCCCTCCACCGCCACCACCACGGGCACTCCAGCAAGGTGGCCAGGATGTTACCCCTCATATTGCCCCCACGGGGCCAGAGAGTGAGAGGTTTGCGAATTCTCTCGCATCTGCAAGAATCACTATTCCTAGAACACCTGGTGTGAGAACCAAGCCGTATTCAAGAGCTCCTACGTACTGGGGGATTAAGCCTGATCGATACTTCGACAACCAGGACCTTGCTCCCTACGAAGACTTCCGGAAGAGGACGCGACTTGATTGGATTATCTTGTTCGACTTGAGACTATGGAAGAAGACTAGAACGGATGTTCGGGAATTGTGTCTGGGTACTGTTGTCAATGTGCCACGGTTCAAACGGATCCTTGGTCTACGGTTCTCCGCGTTATATACCACGCTTGCACAGCTATATTTGATCGCTGATAGGGAACCGGATCATTCTATTATTAACCTCTCCCTACAGTTATTGACAACACCTTCTATCACCGAAGAAGTAGTTGATAGGGGAAGCTTCCTAACGAATATAATGGCCATTCTCTATACCTTCCTCACCACACGCCAAGTGGGAGAACCTCGCGATGTTGACCCAACTGCCACACTTTCGATTGACACTGGCTCAGCAACTAACCGGCGACTATACCATTTCTTCCTTGATTTACGATACCTCCTTCTATCTGAGCATGTCAAGTACAAGATCCGCTGTGAACGGCAATATCTGATGCAATTCCTTGATCTTGTGAAACTCCCACAGGGAATCTGTCCCAATGTTCGTGCAGTCGAAGCTCATGTTGAGTACGAGACAGAAACCTGGATCGCAGCATCTATATTGATGAGAGAAATTAACCGCCTTTGTCGGATGTTTTGCGACTCGTTTCGCATAAACGACACTGAAGAAAACGAGGCTTTCATAGTTGATGCGATAGCAACAACTGCTTATTCGACCATGGTCAACTCCCTGGGACTGGAGCGACACCGTTTCAGCCAGGCGGAGATCAAAGAACTAGTCCGCTTCAAGTCTGTCCCATTTGTCGAATTCGAAAATTACTCTTTTAAACAGGTTACGCATCATCGGCTAGTTGATTTCGTTGTAGATCGCGGGTCGATTAGTTTCCATCACGCGCTCCATTATACCCTCTCCTGGCTCGTTGAGTGTGGTCGGGATATGCCTGAGAATAAATTGAGGGAAGTGTTTTATCGTACGGCGAATATGGTTAAATCTCAACGTTTAACCAACACGCAGATCCAGGGATTGGATGCGGATGATATTATTTTTACTATGTTTGATTTCCCTCTGAGGGTATGTGCTTGGCTTGCTCAGATGAAAGCAGGCATGTGGGTAAGGAATGGGCTTAGCCTTCGACACCAAATGAGCCAATATCGCGCCGTCACAACACGTGAGTTGGCATATTATCGAGATATTTTTTTGTTGCAGACTGCCTTTGTTGTTTGCGACCCCATCAGATTCCTTGCGAGTGTTGTTGACCGGTTTGGCGTTGGCGATTGGATGCGTGGAGGATATGTGACTAGGCCTGGCTACGAAGATTTGAAGCATGTGGATATCCTGGAGGAGCTTATCCATTTGATGATCGTGCTGATCACTGATCGAACATCGTTATCGTCTCCGGAGGATCAAGATAATGTTCGCACCAGTACTATGGCCAGAGACATTGCACATGCTCTTTGTTTCAAACCACTGTCCTTTTCAGACTTGTCGCAACGGATGAATGAAAAGTTTGGAGAATCGAATAATTTCCAGGAGGTCTTGTCGGAGGTGGCTACATTCCGCCCTCCGGAAGGAATGAATGATACAGGCACTTTTGAACTGAAGCCGGATTATCTCGATCTCGTGGATCCATACTGTGCTCACTATACTAAGAACCAGAGAGATGAGGCTGAGAACCTGTACAAACAGTGGATGGCGAAGAAAACCGGTAAAGATGCATCACAGATTGTTTTTGAGCCGAAACTGCGTGCGATACAGTCAGGGGCATTCGTTAGACTTACTGCTTTTACTCAGACGACATTATTTGCTCAAATTATCCACCACTGCCTAGATTATTGTCTAACATTTAAAAGTGTCACTACAAACGTCACTACGACGAGGGTTGAGACATTCCTGCATCTGGTACTCCACCTAATTCTCTTGGCAGCCATGGAAGATACTGTCTCTGAAGATGACCTGGATGAGAGTGGCGAGCATCCTGACTCCACGAAATCTTTTATCTATCATGCCTTGTGCCGGACTAAACTTACCCGTACGGCAGAAATAAGCATTATCGGGTTGCTTCAGAATATATCAAATGTGCCAGAGTATTCCTCGTGTGGGCCAAAGATTAGACACATTTTGAAGAAATTGTGGCAAATGCGTCCAAAAGCTTACGTTGCTGCGACAAGTACTCTTGAATTCCCGTACGACAATATCGCGGCTCCTTCGCCGGCTGCCAAGACCGAGAGCGAGCTTGAGATTAAGAAGAAACAGGCTCTTGATCGACAGGCTAAAGTAATGGCACAGTTCCAACAGCAGCAGCAGAACTTTTTGAATGCTCAAGGTAACATTGACTGGGGAGAGGAGGATGACGATATGAGTGAGACTGGGGAGCCAAATCATCTCAGCCTGACTGAAAAGAAGCTTTGGAAGTATCCTTCGGATCGATGTATTTTGTGCCAGGAAGATACCAATGATTCGCGTATTTATGGCACATTCGCACTTATAACAGAGAGCAAGATCCTTCGACAAACAGATACGGAAGACGCCAGCTACGTTGGGGAGGTATTAAAGACTCCATCTAGTCTCGATCGTTCGGCGGATGCCATTCGCCCATTTGGTGTTGCTGGGGACAATCGCAAGATGGTTCGAAGTCTAGATTCTACAGGTGGAGAAGTCATTATGGAAAAGCAAGGGTTGGGCAAGGGCTACAATCCCAAGCGAGCAGTTGCAGGACCTGTAATGACTGGTTGTGGGCATATTATGCACTACCATTGTTTCGAGGACTATTACAACGCCGCACAGCGAAGACATCACCACCAGGTTGCTCGCAATCACCCTGAGCGCTTGTCTCTGAACGAGTTCGTTTGTCCACTTTGCAAAGCACTAGGAAACTCTTTCTTACCAATCATCTGGAAGGGTAAGGAGGAGTCCTACCCTGGTGCTTTGGGCACAACAGAATCGTTCGATGAATTCTTCAATGAAACGCTTGTCTACGCTGTGTCTAGATTCCGAAATCATGCTCTTATAATGGAAAGTGATAAGCTGTATACTTCCGGGTTTCAGGACTTGTTTGTCGATTATGTATCTAAAAATTTCATCTCTCCCCTGTCGAACAAGGTGGACCAATTGACTACGCCGCCACTCCCGGAACTGCTTTCCTTCTCCCAACCAGCCCGGATGCAAATGCCAGGATTATTCCCCCAACCAGATGAAATTGCCGCGATGGGCCCTCCTACTACTCAACAACCTTCTTCAAATACAAATTACTCGCTTATGCCAGAGCTTGTGACTATCTACAAACGACTAAGAGAGAGTATTCGCTCTAATGGGATCTACTCGCAATTTGGGTATCAAGGGAATATATCAGATGACTTGATTTTCTCCGATGTATTACTTAGGAGCCTTGGCTTTTCCATTGCGGCTGTGGAGATCGCCCAACGTGGTGTTGGATCCCAAGGCGGAAGCACTCTACTAGCACAGATTCCACAAATGACCCTTACACATTTACGAGTGATATCCGAGACGGCTTTTTCGTACTGCTCCATTGGAGGACTGAATCCGACCGCGACGAATAAAACCGGATATGAATTCAGAGATATGAATCGTCGGAAACTCTGTCAGCTATTTGTTGGGCATCCAGGGCTTTCTGGGCTGTCCAACATAGCCTACGATAACAAGTCCATCGAGCCGCTACTTGGACAGGACAGTTTTGTGTTCCTGGCTGAGTGTTCGCTCTCCATAGTCCCCGCGTTAAACTTCGATATTATCCATGTAGTTCGCCTATGCTACATCGCTGAGATTGTTAAGACGGCCCTGGTATATATGCTACATCCGAGGGGATTCCTTGAGTTGGAATCAAAGCACGATTCCGATTCTTCTACGGATGGCGGTGTCATAAGCCCCCAGGAGTCCCTGATGAGGAATGTATTCAACTGGCTTATTAACACATACAAGACCTCGTCTACCAATAATCAGCTACCCGAAGAAGGTGTCTCCTCTCTTTTCAGCGACAGCGAAACTTTCTCAAACAGCATGATAAAACGCCTCCGACGAATGGTTGACAAATATGCACTTCCTTTCCTTCGCAAAACTGTTATTTTACTCCATGTTCGGTTTGGGGTGGAGTTCCCGAATACCGGGTCGGATTATAGTGACATGGCAGAGATTGATCGCCTGTCCACTCTACTTCATCTTCCTTCGATTGATAGCATTTTTGAGTCTCTTATAAAGAATGTGGGTGCAGAGAGCAGCAACAGTATGGCCTTGCTAGTGACTGGGTGGATCTCGCATTTTATTTCCTGGCTACAAGAACGCACAAACGTTGATGATCATCAGCAGCAACATCAGCAACAACTAGAGCCCCTTTCACTCCCACATCCGGCGATTTTTGAGCTGGTGGGGCTTCCCAAATACTTTGACTCCCTGTTGGATGAGGCAACGAGACGCCGCTGCAAGACGACCGGCAAGGAACTCGCTGATCCCAGCATCTGTCTCTTCTGTGGCGACATATTTTGCTCCCAGGCGGTTTGCTGTCGAAGCGGGGGGGATCGGAAATTAGGTGGTTGCAATCGCCATGTTGCTGAGTATGTTACCTATTATTTTACGTAATCTTAAAAACCAAGCCCGTGATACTGATTTTTTCCATTACAGATGCGGCGGAAACGTCGGCTTATTCATTAACATCCGCAAATGCATGGTTCTCTTTCTTCATAACAAGAACGGCAGCTGGCATCATGCGCCTTATCTGGACATCCATGGCGAAGTTGATCCAGGTTTCCGGCATCATAGGCGTCTTATATTGAATCAAAAACGATATGACCGCCTTCTTCGTGACGCGTGGTTATCACATGGAATACCCGCAGTCATTAGCAGGAGGTTGGAGGCGGAAATTAACAATGGGGGCTGGGAAAGTATATAGGGACAAAGAGGTTGGGGTATGGGGTTATCGGGCATGGTATGGGCTGAATACTAAGGAGTTAGAGTTTTTGTTCGTTGAAATGTGCTTTTTATGAATCCCTTCTCCGTAAATGTGCAACGTATCTCTTCTGTGTGGATTGGGGTTTTCGTGTGTATTTAAGTCGAGTGAACTATGCATTTATTTGCTCAGTTTCTTCCTCATGGTTTCACCTGCCTGATTTCCATGCATTGCCATTGGTTTGCACCTAAAGAAGAAAACTGTTCAAAAACATTGATTGCATTTATCGAAAAGAGTGTGTCGGTTTGCAGATATCCTGTTCTGGGGAACTTCCAGGTGGGCTGAGATTGTAATGTTGATTACGTAATAACTCTAACTAGTTAACGTACTTCAACCAACCAAGCGGCGGATCCTCTCCAAAAATCATCAAATATTCAACGTATTCAACAACCAACACACTTAAATAATTAAAATATTAATAAATTAAGACTATCTAATAGTTGAATATATAGCTATTTATTAGGGCAACTGTGTATAGTATGTCCCATAGTCCCACAGCCGCTGCAGCGCTGTGGATGAGATATAGCTTCAATCTGAGCATCAACCTGCATATGAAGCTGCTGAACACGCCCACGACCTTCTCTAATCATTGTTTTATAATCTTTGGATCCTCCTGCTTCGCCCATTGATGGGATATATGGTGATTATAGTGTGTATGTAGTTGAGAATGGTGTTAATGAATCTAGATGTCCAGTTGACTTCAAGAGTGATTGATAGGATCAAGAGTATGTGCTTGAAGTAGAATCTGTGCCATTTCATGTAGGAAATCCAGACAAATTGAAAAGATTCACTTATCTGCAGTCAGTAATTGCTTGAGAAGGATTTCATCTTTAATCTCTGTCAATTTGTGATCATTTGTATGTGTCTCTGAGCATGATTTGATGCCAGCAAGTCATTTATGCAGAGTAGTTTCAGAAACCTCATCTATCTTTGAAGCTTTCATCTTTGATATTTTGTTTTTGGACTTATATGAAGCAATGTCCAATTAACTGTATGTGAAATTCTTGAGATAAAGACATTTTAAAGAAAAAGTGTGAAGAAATGAAGGTTGAAGATAGTTGGGTTGAATATTTGATGATTTCAGAGAGAATCCGCCGCTCGGTGGTGAAGTACGTTTAACTAACTACGTAGTTAATTCCCAAGCAAGCAGAATCACCCAAGCGAGCGGATCACAAAATCACCATATTTCAACTGACTAGATTTTAAATCAAATTATCTCAACAACACTCTAAATGGAGGAAAAGATTGAATTTGCAATTGCTACTTTGAAAAATAACAAATTACCTCTATTCATAAAGCAGCAAGGCTGTATGATATTTCATACTTCACTCATATTGATTGACTGAATTGACTATTTTTTATATGTTACATGAAAATTCACACTGATTAACTAAAGCTGAAGAGAAAATACTTGCTCAACATGAAGAAAGTCTTACAAGAGAAGAAAATCAAAGCCTTATTGCTCTTCTCAATCCATCTGTTGAGAGTATGATTAATCAATTATAAGAATCTGAACCTTCTGTTTACAACCATGATTGTGAGCTCCACAGAGATGTAATAAATGTGGAACTGTTGAACATACAAGAAGATAAAGTCCTAATCCCAGTATAGTTCATTTTTTTTCAATTGGACTTTCTTTTGATTGTTGATAATTGTAATATAAAATAAATATTTAATGTATGTATAGTAAGTGGATTTGGTGCCGACTCGGTTGGGAATTATGTTTAGCTAGTTAGTTAATTAGTTGGCGCCATAAGCGCCATTGCTCCAAGTGGCAAACAAACTCATCAATCCGCAACTCCTCAATCCGCAACTCCTCAGACACAACTCACTGAAGCTGTCCTTACGACTGAACGGATATAGATGCTAAGCAACCTTGATATGGTGAGGCCTATCTAGATACTCTTAAAGAGCATATTATTTATTTAATGTTCCAACAGTTCCTTCAAAACCAAAGCAGAAACCATGAACAACGAGCAATTTCGCCGCCTCCTCTTCGACAACCAACTGAAAAATAACCATGACTCTTCACTTGACAAAGTGGGATCCCCCCTCAGCTGGGACGCAAGTCGCTCCAGACCATTGGCTCTGGGATCCAAGATGAGATCCAGCATCCCCATGACACCGTAAGCATGTGTTCCTTCCCATTTAAACTACTTATTTCACCAACTGATTCTCTCGTTTTTCTTATTCGGACAGTCGTTCCGTCACCGGTGTAGATTTTGCACGTCAATTAGTTGAACAGCGCCGTGAATCACAGCCTCCTCCTTCAAAGAAATTCAGATCTTCCGCTGCCCCCAAAGGCTCCAAATTAGCTGAAGGATACCATGATCGGACTCTTCAACGGAGGGCGGGTCATGAAAAGGGGGATAATGGCGAAGTGGATCAGAGAGGTGATGAACTGGAAAAAAGAGTTAGGGAGTTGGAAGACATGGTTAAACTTGGCCAGATTGACCAGATTACGTTTGAGAAACTTAGGGCAGAGTTTGGTGTTGGGGGGGACGTTAAGAGCACACATTTGATTAAAGGGTTGGATTGGGAATTACTACGGAGGGTGAAAGCTGGGGAAGATATAACTGCTCCGCCTCCTAGCGCTGATGATGATGATGGAAAGGGGGAGCGAGAGAAGGAAAGTGTCTTGGATGTGGATGCAGAGTTTGAAATGGTTCTTGAACAGAAGGAGAAGCAGGTCAATGAACCTATGGTACGAACTGAAAAAGCTAAGAAAGGGACTATGGCTTCTCCACCACCAGCTACTGCGCGGAGAATGACTCGAGATGAGATTCTGAAGCAGCTAAAGGCTAGCCGGGCTTCCACTGGTTCTCAGAATACTGTCTCTGAGCCTCCGGCTTCTACGCTAGGCGAAAAGTTTAAAAAGATTGGGGCCAAACCCGAGAAAAAGCGATGGATTGAGAAAGATGCCCAGGGCAGAAGAAGGGAAGTTCTACTTGCTACTGATGCAGAGGGAAAGACAAAGAGGAAAGTCCGATGGCTTGATAAGCCAGATGATCCGGCGCCGAAAATTGGAGATGGCGGGCTTTTGCCGGTCGATAAGAGTGTCGCTCCTCTGGGCATGGATGTCCCCGCTGAAGCTCTGTTACGAGCCCATGCAGCTGCTGCAGCCGCTGAGGAGGAGGATGATGATATCTTCCAAGGAGTTGGGAGGGACTACAACCCGCTTGCTGGTATTGAAGAGGATGATGGTAGTGAGTCTTCGTTGTCTGGCGAATCGGATGGTGAAGTGAAAGAGAGAGGCCGACCTCCCCAAGATCTGGATTCACGGGATACCACCCTCGCAGAGTCACTACAAACACCCATGGAACTTTCGAAACCCCGGAACTATTTTGATACATCCTCCACTCGGGATGATATAGAAAATCCTGATGGTACTAAATCACTTTCAAGTGACCCAACCATTCTTGCTGCCCTAAAGCGCGCAGCCGCGATTAGACAGGCATCCTCATCCATTCTTGATGATGAAGCTGATCTAGATGAAGAAGCAGCTTTGAAACGCAAGAAATTCCTCGAAGAGGCCAAGAAACGAGATAGAGAAGATGCAATGGATTTGGATCTAGGGTTTGGTGGAAGTCGATTTGGAGATGACGAAGATGAAGAAGGAGTTTGGGAAGGCGAAGGACGCGGCCCAGGAAGTAAAAGAAAACGGGGGCCCAAGAAGAAAAAAGGCGACAAAGATAGTGTCAGCGATGTTATGAGGGTGCTGGAAGGGAGACGCCATAAGGGCAAGAAAGGATCATCGTCCATGGGTGGTTGAATTGGGCCTTGTTTGGAGACTCTTTGGGACGCCTAAGATGCAAAGCTCCGTGCTAGGACTATTTGAGGAAGTTGGTCTAAGATGGTCTTTATAAATTACTTATGCCACCTCATAGCGCTATTGGGGTCACATTCTCTGGTTTCTCCGAGCTCAAATGGACAACGCTTTTAAGTCATGCATCTGGGTGTATTTGAGATGTGACGCTCATTGAGTGCGAAGGGACGTTTTTTATGCAAGGCCCGATTGATGAAGGGATGTTAAGATTGCCCACCTGGAGATCTATGATGATGACCATCATCCCTAGTTTAGCCCCTGTGTAGGGGTCAGGATCCAGTGGATGGATAACGAATTCCAACAAACCATGATAAGTAGCAATAGGCAAACGGAGATACGCAGACGGCCCGAAGGAACGTTCCGATCACCCAGAACCAAAACCTCAGGCGTCCCGAACACCTGTTGCCAGACGGCACATACAAGCTGTGTGTTTTTCTTAGCATGATGACGTTATGGGCGCACATTCCGATGCAACTCCCGGCTCGGCAATATGGTTATCCAGGTAACCTTTATGGTAATCCATGGATCTTCACGAATATACAGGCACATTGGATATTACGGACGTACTTGGAACGCAGATTACTTAATATTCTATCCTCAAACCTCTTCATGTGTCAATCAACCGCGGTTTGTGCGAATCTTTGCCATTCCCAAGTGTTCTAATATAATGGACGTACCGAGTGGCTGCCATTTGGCTTGGCATCTTGGCAAAACGTGGGAACCCTATCATTTAAATAAGGTTATCGACACTATGCTTTATTTGGACTAGGCTCGCTTCCAATGTTGCACTTTGAGCCAACTGGTACTTAATGTTGGATTCCTGTTTGCTGTTGTTCTATTTGATGGATGTTCGAAATCCATTGTGTTAGGCGTTAGATCGTCTACTCCGCATTTTCTACCCGCATTGCGCCCTGGTAACATTCATGTGGGCTGCTCTTGCCCGACCTTCTTAGCCACGCTCTGATGTGAGATTCGTGGCCATAATTCTGATGGGTTGGGACATCCTAACTTTACTCACCAATGTTCATGAGAGCGCCGAGAACAGGAATTCCAAAGAACTCTCCTGGACGATCCAATGGATTGAGAGATGGGGTTCCGTTCTCAAATCTATGCGTTCTGCTGTTATTTGTCAGAAGCTTTTATCCTTTCTCTCCTTTTATTGGAAGTCCAAAACATAGGGTTACTGCACAATCTCCCAGCCCGTTTACCTGTTCAACAGCAGATAATTGATAAAATGCGACACCGAAACAACTTCTTTTACTTTAACCTCAATGCGACGTTTGTTATTTGGCTCGAAATTCTATCATGTTTACTTACTTACGGTTCGCCATGGCAAAGTCCGCTTCCATCTGCGCGGCTTCCCTGGAAGAGCTCCTATCGGACTTCTATCTCAAGTACAAATAGTGGCAGTGTTCCCCTAGTAATAAGTCTCTTTTTGTGGACAAATTTTCCCGTTGTCTCTGCCAAATACAACACTGCTAGCTTCCTCAACATTGACCTTATCTTTTCCCACATCCAATCATGGTGTCTGGATTCAAATATCTCTTTGTCAGCGGGCTTCTAGCAAGTGCTGCTTCCCTTCCCGCCGCTGACTCTAATAACATTTCTGCTCGTACATTCCCTGGGAAACGTGGTCTTGCCTACAATGACCCTGCCGTCCTTGCCACGTTCGCCAAAAACGGAGGTCCGTTCTCCTGGTGCTATAACTGGGCCGGCAGAGGAGGTGGTGCGCCCAGTACCGAGTTCGTCCCAATGCTTTGGGGTCGTAGGGCTTTCGGGACCTGGAACCGAGACGCCCAGGCGTCCCTTGCCTCCGGGAGCGGGCACCTGCTCGCCTTTAACGAGCCTGACTTACCCAGCCAGGCCAGTATGTCTCCCCAAGATGCCGCCAGAGCATATCAGGAGTACATGAACCCATTGTCAGGCAGAGCCCGCCTCGGTTCTCCAGCTGTCACGAACGGTGGCGGCTCGCTTGGCCTTGGTTGGATGGAAAACTTCCTCAACGCCTGTGCGGGTAGATGCAAGGTTGACTTCCTTGCCATCCACTGGTACGACGATGCTACAAGAGTCGAGAGCTTCAAAAGTCACGTCAATGCTGCGATCGCATTGGCTAGGAAGCATGGGATTGGCAAAATTTGGGTTACTGAGTTCGCGGGACGAGGGAACGATGCAGCACAGGTTGCATTTTTGCAGAATGTGCTTCCATGGCTGGATACCAATCCCGGCGTCGAGCGCTATGCCTATTTCAAGACGGATACGTTTGTGAGGGGAGGGATGTTGTCTCCCGTCGGCCGTGCTTATAGCACTGCCTAAAGATTAAGGCATATTACCCTCCGATTATTTCAGGTGGATATAGGGGCGATATTTAGATCACTTGGGAAGTTTTTGTTCTTATTAATTTCTATTAGACGTTGGAACGATAGATAAAAATGAGTGATATTGCGGGAACATACTACGTAGTTCCGTAGTCAATCAACCTTTCAATGGTCCACTTTTACCACTTTTATACTGCTTAAGCTGTGGGATATGATTGTCAACAGGCACTCAACATAGCTATGATTTCAAATTTACTTATTTCAGGCCGGGGGATGTGTCTGCTGATCACGTGGCTGACTGGATTGGGCAGCAGCTGAGCCAAGCGCGGCTCCAACGACAAATAAGGGGTGACTAAGGCGGTCAGACCAAGGAATGCAACCAACCGAAAAGAGACGCGCTACGATCCTTATGTAATCCAGCCGCTGAAAGGGTTCTGTGTTGTCAAACCTCTCAACAGGAGATAAAGTCCCAGAGCAAAGATACGCAACTTAAGTCCAAGGACTAAAGAACCCTCAGTGCCATTGTGGTTCTTGTTCCTGGACAGCTTTTATTATTGCCACACGTTCTGCCGGGAATAAGTGCATCTACCATCAAGATGAGGGATTTCAAAGAATCGACAACCCCACTAATCCTTGCGCTAAATACGACGCAAAAGGCTAGGAATCTAAGTATTGGCAAAGTAATTGGTAGGTGCTAGGTAGTGTCAGAGGCTTCTCTCGTCCCCTCTAATAACTCTTTTTACGTAGCACGCTGTATAAGATTCAACTAGCCCAGTCGAGAAACGGAAACGGAAACGGAGACAGTTCAAACGGAGTGAAACCGAAACAAAAGGCTGTTGCGAGAAGTCTATATCCACGTGCTGCTATGCAATCGGCGTAGTCTATTCTTTCCTAAACCTTAAACTGAGCACCGCGGGTTTTTGTAGATCCAATCAAATACACTGAGAAGCGCCCAGGTATGGATCACAGCGCTTAGCACCACGAAAAAGTGAAAAAATCTGGTGTGATGCTCCCCAGATATCGAACTTCTCAGGAATCCAGGACTCGGGGAAATGGGTCTACGTTTGGCTGCGATTAGCTCGGTTCGAAATCGCCTTCCTTTCGGCCGCACCGATGCGTGCAACCGGCTCACTCACCGCATAGAAGATCACCCTGGTAATGAGTGCCAGACCCTCGACTAGGTAGTAGCCCAAGCCCGCCTGCTGGTTCAACTGTGCAAATGGATAAATGAAGGCAGCATGGATGATGGGCAACAATCCCGAGAGGCCTGTCGCAACAAACGTGGAGAGCCGAAACAACCTCCATCGACTGCTCTGGAATTGGGGACTAACTAGGATAATGCTGGACAGGAGCCCCAATGCACCAGTCTACGAACGGGGGATCCCATCATCCTTGTTAATCGAGGTGTTGACTGAAGCTTGAGAAAGAAACGGAGGGAAGACAACCTACCATAGTCCAATAAAGCTTCTGTAGGCAGGGCTCGCAGTAGAATGTGACATAGATTCCTGAAACGAAAGACCCAACAGTCTGGAGAATGATGGCAACATAATCCAAACGGGCCCAGAGACCTGAACAAGGCTCCGAATGGCATAGAAGGGTGTGATAGGTGGATGAGATCCCGAAGCAAACGACCGAGCTAGTCAAGTAGACGTGTAATGCCAGTTGGTCCACCATGGATGCAGTTGGGTAGCGGTCGCAGAAGTACAGGTGGAGGAGGCCATTGCTGGCGAGGGCGATTCCGGCCGGTATCAGATGAGAACAAATGTTGACAGTCTCATTATGGATAAATCGCAAGCTATTGACGCACAGCCTGACCGACCCGTTGACAGGGCGATAGCCAGTACGGATGAAGGAGTTATGGGCATACCATGATGGTACCTCACTTGCCACTAGCAGGCGATATTTGGTCTTTGGTTGTTTGACGGCTGAGCCCTTAGCGGGGTTACTCCAGCTCCCGTCGCTCCGGGTGGGTGCCAGGCGCTGATATAAAGCCACTAGTCAGAGAAAATGAGTCTGGAATCTTGGTGTGGTCTCTTTAGAGGGCGGGGGATGAAGAAAGAAATATATATATATATATATATATATATATCCGGAGCTGATAGAATGTACGTTTCGCGCATACCAGGATGTGATCAACATGCAGTAGCTGATGTGACAGAGCCTTAGTCTTGCATGAGAGAGGGCAAAATCATTGGCTACCGCTTTGTAACTTTCGCAGCCTCTCGACTCTAAGTTCCCCATCCCGCGCCTCTCCCGTGAGCCAGGACTTGTGCGAACAGATAATAGTTAACGCTGAGAGCCAGCCTTTTTCCCTTCAAAAACTAAAAATAGTTTAATTAAACCCTACCTCCGAGACGCCAAGCACCGTTAGGTTAGGTGCTGATCCTGAGGGGCTTCCTCCAATACTATAACCCCGATGTGACGCTCATCTCCCTCTTCTCTCCTGCTCTTCCCTGACTCAACACAAAAAATGCTCTTGTCGCGCAGATTTCCCCACTCATGCCCCGTCCATCAGTGACTCGACATTATACGCGCGACGTCTTCAGAAATGGTTTCTCGGGATGAATATACGGTTGGATGGATTTGCGCTCTTCCCTTGGAGATGGCGGCGGCGAAGGCCATGCTTGACCACATTCACGCCGACTTACCAGCTGATCCGAACGATACCAACGCCTATGTTTTAGGAAGTCTCAATGGTCGTAATATCGTAGTCGCGTGCCTGCCCTTCGGCGTGTATGGAACCACTTCGGCTGCGACCGTTGCTATTCAGATGCTCGCAAGCTTCAAGTCTGTCCGGTTCAGCTTGATGGTCGGCATCGGGGGAGGAGTACCGAGCACGAAGGAAGATATTCGGCTTGGTGATATTGTTGTGAGCAGGCCGACGGCGGCCCGGCCGGGCATTATTCAGTACGATTTTGGGAAGAAATGCGCAGAAGACCAGTTTACCAGTACGGGGGTGTTGAATAAACCGTCAACCTTACTCCTCACGGCCGCAGGCAAGGTCGAGACGAATAATATTCTCGGCGAAAGTCAAATACCCCGTTACATTTCCAAGATTGTGCAAAAGGACTCCCTCATTTTTGCCCATCCAGGCCCGGAACAAGACGTCCTCTTTGAGTCGAACTATGACCACATCACACCAAGTCTGGAGATAGCGCGTGCAATCACTGCGACCCCAATAGAGTGAGACACCGGCCTCCGCGAAGGACCCAGAACCCCAAAGTCCATTATGGCCTGGTTGCGTCCGGCAACCAGGTGATGCGGCATGGCGCGACACGGGACAAGTTGGCGCGCGAGTATGGGATCCTTTGTTTCGAGATGGAGGCGGCCGGCTTGATGGACATCGCCCAATGCCTGGTTATCCGGGGAATCTGTGATTATGCAGATTCGCACAAGAATAAGCGCTGGCAGGGGTACGCCGCCGCTGCCGCCGCTGCCTATGCGAAAGAGATCCTGTCGTTGATCCCCACAGTCCCAAAGCCAGTTCATTTGGCATCCATCACAGATTCGGTGGTTGCTCCTGTTCTCGATGCTTTGCTCTTGACTAGACCCGAGGTTGATCGAAGTTCTCTGATCGCATTGAAAGGACGGAGGGTGGGCGGCACCTGCGAATGGCTCATACGGCATCCTAGTTTTCAAGAGTGGCTGGAAGGTGCCGATCCATCTCTACTCTGGATCTCAGGGGGCCCTGGAAAAGGGAAAACTATGTTGGCCATTTACATCACCGAGGAGTTGCAGCCAGTGGTGGACTCTGCCCAAGGAGTTCTCCTCTATTACTTCTGCAGTAACCGCGACAAGAACCGGAACACAGCAGTGACCATTATGAGAGGCGTAATACACCAATGGCTCAGCTTCCATCCCCACCTGGCGCAACATATTCAGAACTACTTCGATGGGTCTGAAACGACAAAATATACGATTTCTAGCTTTATCTGCCTGTGGAAGCTTTTCCTGATCCTGCTTCGTCAGAGCAGCTCTTGTCAGGTGATGTGTGTGCTGGATGGCCTGGATGAGTGCGAAGAGGAAACCCTGAGGCAGCTCCTCGATGTCCTGGGAGAATATTTCTTGGAATCTGAAGAGAAACCAAGGGTATGTCTGAAGATCATCCTGCTCTCCCGCCCCCCAACCAGGACTTTTAGAGAGCAAACTCCGTCGATTCCGTCGGATCAAACTCGATGACTCGGATATGGAAGTTCAGAGAGATGTCGAGAAATACATCTCGACCAAAGTTGCTGAACTGGCATCCGAGCAAATCCTTTCAGAGGATAGGCTCCTGCAGGTTCGGCAGGCCTTGATGGCCAGCGCCGAGGGAACCTTCTTATGGGTCGGGTTTGTTGCGGATGAGCTCAAGGGGAGGAGTTGGCTCAAAATCAATGACATTCTTCGTGGTGTGCCCAAGGGCCTTGGTGGAATCTATCGGCGGTTGCTTCGACAAGTCGAAGACAAAGAAAAACTGGTCCCCATTCTCCAATGGGTTGTTCTCGCCGCCCGACCCATGACAGTGGACGAACTGGCAGTGGCCGTGGAGATCAAGGGGTCTGATGCCCTGACACCAGCAGAAATCCTAAAGGATCAGCTTTCATCCTGTGGGATGTTGATAAAAATCGATGGAGATGTGGTCAATCTTGTCCATGAGTCGGCGAGGGAGTTCTTTCAGAGTGACCAGGCCAATATAGAAGAGATTAACATTTTCCACATGAACCACACCACCTACCGGACTCTCATGCGGACCTGCCTGGCACTCATCGAAGGGAGTTACAAATCTCCCGGCAGTATCAGCAGCGCGTCCCTCCATAATACCCTCTTAACGTATGCCAGCTTATATTGGCCAGAGCATTTCCGACACGCGTTCGACACGGTCGAGGCCCAGACTGAATTTTCACGTCAGTTTTTCCAAGCCGAGTCTCCAGTCCGGGAGGATTGGTGGCAATTCTATTGGGATCGGGAGCAATACGGCGGAGCTCCTCCGTCGTTCACGCTGTTGCACCTGGCTGCGTACTTTGGCAATCTGTCCTGGGCCAAGATGTTACTCGAGCATTATGCCTCCAATGGCATTCCCTTCCGCCGTCACACCTCACGAAAGGATAGTTATGGCCGGACTCCCCTGTTCTGGGCCGCCACCAGGGGCCACCGAGACGTGGTGGAGTTGTTGCTCGATCACGGTGCCAATATCAATTCTAAGGATCGGTACAAATTGACCGCACTCCATATAGTAGTCACTGGAGAGCACAAGGAGGTTGTGTCCCTGCTGCTGGATCGGTCCGCCCGGATTGAGGTTAAAGCCAGCTACGGCGACACGCCCTTGATTCGAGCCATCCAGGCCAATTCTAAAGATATTGTTAAGCTGCTGCTTGAACATGGAGCCCGGGTGGATGGGCTACCCACTCCCCCGGGAGTCACTCCCTAAGAGGACCTATGGATCCACTGGAAGAGCGCTCGAAACAGCTTCTGGAGCTTCAAGACCAACTTTTTGCTGCGCGATACGAGAATCAATCGAGACTAGTTGACCTCACACTCAGGACCCTAACCTTTTCCCTCCAGTTCCGACCTTTCTTTAAATTGGTTGCGTTGTACGTGAAACACTGGTAGATTGGCCGCTGGGAGGTGTTGCAGGACCTAGTCAAGAATAATGAGACGGTCAGATTGCGAAACTGGGCGCAGTCATTCATCGGGTTTGGCAACCAGCTGATTGACGATGGGAACCCCAGAAAGTTGGAGGCCATGACGGGACTCTCAGTCCGGGTGTTTAAAGTGGTCTCCACTGCAGATCTGGAAGCCCTATTGGTAATTGGTGTCCTGGTGGGCTCTAGCATCATGCTGACAGCGTCTAAACATCGATGGAGAGAAGGGGTGGACATTTCAGCAAGGACATTTGCGCAGTTCGCCTCTCTCGCCTATCGCAGAGGCGCCGGGGAGTCATTGGACTATGGAGTTCGTGAGTTCCTGATCGATTTTGATGCCTCCATTCGAAGTGGTAGGAGGGAAGACACGGTGAACCGGGTGGTAGCCCTTTTCTGCACGCACTTTGCCATCTTTGCCAGCAGGGATCCACGACCGATCGAGTATTTTTCAACGGTCATCACGGAATATTTTGAACGCTATATCGGTGGCAGCTATGAGGAACAGCTGTTCAATGATGCCAGCGAAGCATGTGCCAATGAGCTGGGTGCCATCAGCGAATGTCAGGATGCCCGCAGATTGCTTCTCGTCCTCTCTGCTATCCTGCATATTGCTCAGCACTCAAGAGGGAAAGGATAGGACCGGTTCCTCAACATGCCTCCCGCAGCATGTCTAATACTCTGTCAGAACAACCCCAGCGCCCACCGATGATTGATCGGCAGGGGAATCCCAGAAACAATGAGTGTCTTGATATCCCGGCAACAACAGGGAGCGGCTCAAAAGAGGGCCTTTAAAGCTCTTGTGGAATGCCTGATTATTGGAAAACAGTATGGGCTATCGCCGCCTATGTGGGTGTTGGAAACAGTGAAACGAAATCTTGGCCCAATTGACGGCGTGGATGGAATGCTAGATCAAATTCTTAGTACATGATTTCACGTACATGCTTTCCTTGTTTTGCACAGCTCTTTACTTGTATAGTTACATAATGATATCCTTAATGTTATTTCTTTTCATTATTCTGATAGGCTGAAGTTCCCACAGTGCTCTGATTGTGAATTAACACAGAGTGAACACTTTGCTGAAGAGATAACGAGAGAATGCTTCCAAGGTTGATAGGCGCAGGACAGTGGGTGATGTGAAGCATGTACATAGAGTATGAAGTACATGGACGTGCCCTTCCAAGGTTTCGCCTGTCCTGGAGTTCAACCTCGTTTGGTCAACATTTAGTGGGCTAGGGTCGAAGGTACCTATGTGAATACATATGACTCCACGATAGTCAAATGATCGACTTGCGGCGCGCAACAAATTATCGTTAATCCTCTGGCTAGCAGCATGCTAGGCAGATCAGAATCGTATCCGGGATTATAAAAACGGCAAAATATTCATGGTCCCATTGAGGCGTCGCCGTCAACATCCACTCCTACATCGCCAAAATCCACGGTATTTTGAGCATTATATTCCGGAACCAACGGTTCGTCTTCGAGCGACTCATCCCTTGTCTCTGCCTGCTCCTCTAGCTTTGAAGGAGATCGATCTTCTTCCCAGACTCGTATCGTCCGATCCAAACCGCAGCTTACCATTAGCCTATTTTCCCCGGAGCAGTGCGTGTCGACATCCAAGACAACGTCAGAGTGGCCCTCCAACTTCTGCAACACCTTCTTACTAACCACATCCCAGCAAAGAACTGCCCCATCTTCACTCCCGCTCGCTGCAAAAGCTGAAACTCCGCCCCCGGGTGCACCATATACCCCAAAGGCACCCGAAAGACTGTATTTTTTATTTTTATGTCCCTGATAGGTCTTGATACAACGGCCTTCGACATAATCCCATAACCGAACGCAGTCGTCGTGTGTCCATGCTAGCACATACTTGCCATTTGGTGAAAATTTCACTGCTGAGACAGGGGGATTGTCCTCATGCACAAGTGTCCGCAGACATTGTCCAGTGGCGGTGTCCCATATACGAATAAGGCCATCACTGGCACATGAAACAACGAGAGTGCCATCGCGAACAACATCAACACCGGCAACGGGGTCCGAGTGGGCAGGGAGTGAGCGCATCACTCGTGCGGATCGGACGTCCCATAAATACACAGCTTCATCATATGAGCCACTGACGAGCATATTTCCTTTCGGGGAGAAGGCAACGGAGTATATGTAGTTGTGGTGGCCGAGGAATGGGTTAGGGTGGGGTTTCCCCTGTGCATTGCGGTATGATAGTATTAACAGTGGTGGGCCCTTGTTGAGAGTATGGAATTTGGAAGGAAACTTACCGTTGGGACATGCCACAGTCTAATGGACTTGTCATCAGATCCTGAGGCTATTATAGCTCCATCCGGGTTCCATGATATTGTAGAAATACCGGCCAAATGCCCTTCGAATGTGTGAATAAGCCGTCCGGTGGCTGTATCCCATATTTTTATCGTAGCATCTGCAGCTGTTCCAAAGCGTTAGACACAAGGGTATGACTGTTGAAGGAAAGTGAAACCAAACCAATTCTTACAGCAACTAGCAATCATAGACCCATCTGGAGAGAACTTAACGGCCGACACCCCCAGTTGATGCCCTTGTAGAATAAACTTTTCTTTATAGTATAATCGTTCAGGTTTGGGTGGAGGCTCCTGCGAAAGTGGAGTTGGCGTTTGTGATGACGGCCGTCCATCTACGCATTCCCGAGTTTCACGCTCAAACATAGCTCCCTCTGATTCATCTCCACGAAGGCTTTCTTGTTGAGTGTTTTCTCGTGACGATGGCATACTATTTATCCCGGACCTTCTCCGTTGCCAGTATGAACTGGCATCTTCCGCCAGCTCATCTGGACTGCCTGACTGACTGCGGCTGCCACTGAGACTGACAGAATCCCCTTGTTGATGTTCTAAGGGAGATCTGTAAACGTCGGGAGTGTGACCGCCCCAGTTTTCTCTTCTACGTTCGACATCGGAATTACCCGCGAGTTCGTCGGACGAGGCGGTGTCTGATCGCGGGGTGTAGCTGTTGTCTAAACGTCGTTTCTTCGAGGAGGGTTGGATCTCATCTGCCATGGCAAGAATAGGCCTCGAATGACCCGTCAATCCTCCTCAGATGGCCCAGCAGGTGCGGGCTACAACGAGAGTTGAATAAATTTCGAAAAAAATGCCCCTTTTAGTACTGAGTAGAGTGACGATAACCAAAAGTGTCTTCAAAATATACGCCATTCTGCCACCAATCAACCGCTCCCAGAGTGGAAGGCGGTGTGAACAGCCAATTAAGTGTCGTAAACTCCCCAACTCTTGTGATGACAATGTCGAACTACACGACAATCTCACACCTGAAGTCAGAGTGAAAGACACAACAGCGCAGTAGATTAAAGAGAACATTTCGTTTTGTTTGTTTGCGAACGCTAAGCTCTGTGTTCACCTGCCGTCTATCTTCTGCCTTTCACTCCCCCCCCCCCCTGTAGATTTCGCTCTTTAGGCGACAGCATTCCGGCGATGCTCTCCCGGAACAGCGACGAGCTTCCCGAGAAAATCAGTATCCTCACCCTTAACTGCTGGGGTCTCAAATTTCTTTCAAAATACCGCCGTGAGCGCCTTCTAGAAATAGGGAAGCGAATCGCTGGTTCCAATAATCCTCCGCACATCGTTGGCCTGCAAGAATGCTGGACTCAAGAGGACTACAACAACATCCGGAGGGAAACTCAAGAAATCCTCCCCTATGGGAAGTTTTATTATAGCGGGATATTTGGTGGAGGACTGGCTATCCTCTCCAAATGGCCTATTGAAGAAAGCACAATGTTCGCCTACCCGTTGAATGGACGCCCAACAGCCTTCTTTCGTGGGGATTGGTTTGTCGGAAAAGGGGTCGCATGCGCAAGGATCCGTATTGGGCCCGCATCTACTGACATTGCGGATGTTTTCTGTACGCATCTTCATGCTCCGTATGAAAGGGAACCTCATGACTCGTATATATGTCACCGCACCGCTCAAGCGTGGGAAATCGTGAAACTGATGCGGGCGGCTGCTGAAAAGGGCCATCTGGTTATTGGTTTGGGAGATTTCAATATGCTACCGCAATCTCTTGCACATCGGCTCATCACTTCCCATGCACCCGTAAAGGATGTGTGGAGCCATCTCCACCCAGACTCATCTATCGGAGCGGCGATTGACGCCGCTGAAATGGCACGGAAAAAGCCAATACCGTCAGCCGATTTCAACGTACTCGAAAACGGCGCTACATGCGATGGCATCTTCAATACCTGGCGCTGGAATAAAACACAGCAGAATAGACTCAAACGTGAAGGAAATATAGTCGTCGATGGCGAACTCCCTGACCCTCTTGCAAAACGTCTAGACTACATATATGTCGGGGACGGTGCCTTCGGCCAATTTTCCTCCCCCAAGAAATGGACCATTTCTTCCGCAAGGGTAGGCATGATGGAACGACATCCAACCCTCCATTGTTCATTGAGCGACCACTTCTCCGTCGAAGCTACGATAGTACTAGATACATCAAAGGACTCCGACGCTGAAGACGAACAGAACTCGTTCCTCCCCATTCAGAAGCATATTGAATCCATCCGTTCCCTACGTTCCATATCGCCCATGGGTTCAACCACCCTTGTAACAGCTACGAATGCCACCTCTCCTACGAATACTGAGATAGCAAGCCAACAACAGCAAATTGCACTTGCGGAAGATATGTACGACCAAGTTTTACAGATGATTTCCACCTACGCTGCACGAGAGCGCTTCCAACGACGTGCCCGTCTCGGTCACTTTGCTGCCTCTCTCGTCGTGTCCACCTCCTGCTTTGTCGGTGTATGGTGGTCTCCTCGAGCCTTTGTCTCTTTCATTCTCTGCCTTGTCAGCTCGCTTAGCCTCGTAGCGGGCACCATTGACGGGCTGATCGGAGGTTTGTTCGTGAGCAGTGAGTTGCGATCGCTAAAAGAGTTTGAGTGGGAGATCCGCAATGCAAGGAGGACCGTGTTGGGCTTAGGATTGGACATTGAAGAGGAGCATAGGTCACCGAGATCTGCGCCGCGGGGTTGGCATCGCTGAGCGCTCGATGGGGGTTGTGCATTCCTTTCTTTATTTCTTTTTAATTCGTTTTAGGCTTTACTTGTCTTAATACCTCACGATTTCTCATTTTTTTTTGTCATTCCCTTTCTTCACGTTTTTGCTTCCACTTTATTTTCACGTGTTGATATTTCCGTTTCGTGATGTATACATCGATTTCTGTGGAGCAGGCGTTAAAAGGTAAGGATGCTTTTCCATCGATGCTGGCGAACGGCAAAGGGGACGTTATTTCACGATGAAGTCCGCAGGACAAATCAAGTTTCTGCCCAGTTATCGTCGGATCAAGACAGTCAGGTGTGTGTATAGATAGTTCCATGCATATATTTTGTATGTACATATATGTACGTTAGATGTCCATCTTTCATAATTTTAGCAATGGCGGATACAATTTTCTGGCCTAGTTAACATTTTTATATGTATTCCCTGGAACAACTGTCCTCTGTGTTAAATGAATGTATGAGTGGAAGTGACAGCATAAGATAAATGCAAACGGCAAACAACAATTTTCGAACTGCCCGCTGCAATGATCTCAAATGACACCATATGCGAGCTACTCTGCACACTCCCTCTTCCTCTCCTCAAAAATCTCCAATGCAACCTCCGCAGCTCGCACCCCGCTAAGCATCATCGCCGAAAAAATAGGCCCCATCCGATGCCACCCGTCAATTTCACTCAGCTCCATACCCCCAATTATCAATCCCTTCACCACCTCCCGGGTATTTTTCACGATCGCCTCTTCAGCTGAATTCATATCAAGCCCACGCATGCCACCGAGTTTCTCAATCGCAGACATGGATACTAGACGCTTAGCGCAGAAGGCACCGAACGGTCCATCATGGCCGGTAGTACTAATGACCACCGGCGCGTTGATGGTGTTGGGGTCCATGCATGAATGGTCGTCATGGTGGAGAGTCACAAGTGTCCAGTTGGTCACAACGCCAGCAATGCGGAGTTTCTCCGGGTCGCCGGACAGTGGTGCTGGGCGGGTGACCAGGTCCTCAACGCAGGTGGCGTTAAACAGCTTGATGTTCGGGAATGAGAGGACTTTGGAGAGCAAGGTGGAGGTGAAGAGCGCGGCGTGCTCGATCACCACCAGGTTCGGGTTGGAGGGCTCTTGCTCATACGGAATTCCCAGGTCATCGAGGAAGCGATCCGCCGGTTTGCGGAGGACCATGGCAGAGAACAGCTGGCCACCGAGCCATGCACCACCACCTAGTGGTTGGTTAGTGGAGAGATCTTTTGGTAGCGGCAGTGAGTTACAAACCAGGGGAGACGGAAGCCTCGATAATGGCGATTTTCAAGTCAGGGCGAGCCTTGCCCAAGACATATGCGGTGCTAAGGCCGCAAGATCCTGCACCAACGATGACGATGTCGCTTTCAGCGTAAGTATCCAAGTCCTTGAAGTAGCGGCGCGTCATTGCGCGAGAGACTTGGCTCTCGCGGATAGGGCCGAACTTGAATTCGTCCCATTTCCCGGTAAATTCATCTAAGATAGTGCCGGTAGCTGTAGGACATCTATTGACCGTGAGCCCCTTGTTAATTTTGGCGATAGTAGTGGCTGAACGCGCCACTACATCGGATGTTGCAGCTGGAGGAGACATATTTTTAATGTAACTACATATCAGGTTAGTAGTTTGGTTCTTGGGCGGGAGGGACAGGAGTGGAGAAGAGGGAATGCATGATCCTTTCGCTGGTATTATCCAGATCAAGTTCCAACCGTATAATTTCAGAACAATCTCCCAGAGCCACTCCCGCAGAAACCCGCATCTCTCTCTCCACCCGCAGGTGGGTGAGAAGAGGTGTGGATGGGGGGTTGCAGGCGGAGACTGGGTAGGAGATTGAACACCGGTTCATGCGACGATGAGTTACTGTTTGGGGATACCTTGATCATTATTGGACATTGTTTCCAGCTTCAGGGAAGTCATGACTTCCATCTTATTTGAGAGATGTACCGGATGGTATCGGTCTGCGCGGAATTGATAACTGACGAGGGTTAGCAGCAGAACACAAGTTGGGGTTATTAATGAATGAGAATCTGACCAGAAAGAGGACAATCACGAATCGGTTTCGTGGCAATTGGATTGCGAACCAGTAATTGTAGCGACGCTGCTGTCCAGAGAGTAACAAGAATTGGACAAACTTTAGAATAGTCGTGGGATTGTGAGGGGGTTTTGCGGGGTTCGGGCACTTTATATAGGTTTTGCTCACCCCAACCAGACATTAATATTTAGTTAGTTATGTAACTAATCAGGGGGTTGGTCTTTTGCACGCCGGGATTTAACTTCACAGAATGCTCCTGGTTCTTGATATTGGGTATTATTATTATTATTTTGGTTATTATTATTCTGCAGTTAGAGATATGTAATGGCAGTCGATAATGACATCTACCCGATCTTTCAGATCAGGGATTAAATTTTAGAAAAAAGTGGAAAAAAAAGAAGAAATTAAAGAAAAGAAAATGCAAGAAAAAAATAGTTTAATATGATAGTTATAATAACATTGAAAGAATGTATGGTATTTGTATGTGCTGTCTCTCCCCTCAACTAAGTTTTATGAGAGGTTGAACCACATTTATATACTGGGAACCTGCATCACCCTATTCCTGATAAAATGGAAAAGAAAGAAGTAAAAAAGGAGAAGGTTTCATAAGTGACAGTTCATATAAGTGACTTTCATATCAGAACTGGTGCTTTCTGGAATAGCTTCATTGCTGAAGGCTGATATCTGACAATAACTTATTCTTGATAGATATGAACTTTTATTTTTCTTAGTTTTATTTGCGGCTTTAGAGCCATGAAACTTTTAACTCTTTTCCTAATGCAGTAGAGAAAAGTATATCTATTGATTCAAGTTTTATTTTGAGATCTACTCTTATTTTGTGGGTCTAACCTCGAGTCCACCGGGAGGTTTGTTGTCTCTGTGGTGCGGTAGTTAACACAACATTGGAGTATTCACTTGTACTCAATTGCAGATCTAAGGTCCGAGGGCTCAGAGTCATTGTGAATCTCAGGACAAGTTGGCGATTGAAAGCTGAACATGGCCATATCAAACACTGCATGAATTGCAATGATCCTCTGTTTTCCGTGGTACTTCTACAATTGTCGTTCCTTCATCTACAATTCTTGAGTGGAAAGTATCTACCTGCTTGTTCAGAATTACTGATATCATCAAGGGCTGCCAAATTTCCATTCTCCTTCCGATGATTGTGAAGATGCCTTTCTCCGTACTTGAATTGCTCTAAAGCATGCTGTATTTCACATCCATTGATATACACTGACGTCGCAGCCCAAAACCCGTCTGTTGTGCTCTGTAATCGGAGACTGGATAAAAATCAGAGGCTAAACACACCTATGATTATACACTCATCTTCGAGATGTTTATGCTGTAGATCAGAGTTCAGGTCCTGTGCAGATTTACTCCTCTCTAGAGTGAATCTATCTCAAGCTAAATTTAAATAACACCTTTATCACCAAGGGCCAGTCTATAAATTAAGTAGTTAACTTACCCTTGATATCCCTGTTGCCTAGAACTTCTTTTTAAAATACGGAGGATATATAGTTATAACTCCACCCTTTTGAACTGCTTTCCGTTCTCGAGCCGGTGTCTTTGTCTCTCCTTTTCGTTTCCTTTCTACCAAATCACATACCATCATCCACAGGCCATCTTTGTTAAACATTTACGTTGAGGCTTTGCAGGCTTTTCACCATGGCTAGTCAACAGCCTTCTACTCTTCCCATTGATCGTGATACTCCTCCAGGAGCTGGTCAGATTGCTGCTAGTCCGCCAATTGATAGCTCTACCCCTCACCAGCTCACCGCAGAGTACAAAGCTGCCATCGCTTCTGACCCATCTCTGCGAGCCACTGCGCCAAAACCGGAATGGGAAGACTATGAAACTATCATAGCCCAGAACCCAGAATTAATGGCTCCAGTTGTGACAAATAAAGAAAAGCTGTACTACAAGTCCAAGGTTATATGGGAGTGTGGTCCCGAGATCATAACGAGCATCATCGAGAAAGAATCTGGTGACAGTGGTGAGCTTCCCACTTTTATCAATGAATGTCGGGGTTTGTGCTCGAAATGCCTTGATCCTACCAGCGATCCAGCGCTGAGAAGCGAGGCCGTAGTCGATGGAAAAGTGTTTTACATGTCGTCCAAGGATAGATGGGGGTGTGGTCATGACGGCAAACAGACTCGAACCGAGATCGAGGGTGCCCCTTTGGATATCCGCTTGGTCAAACCTTCTACCCTCATTAATGAAATGAAAGGTATCTGTCCCACATGCATGGGAGAATGGCACAAGCTCGAACCCGCGGACGGTGATAATGTAGCCGCGCTAAACGTTCCATCCTGTGTCCCAGGGGGCAATTCTAACACTCTTCCTAAGTACGACGAAGTCCTGGAAAGCAAAGACCAAATGGACAAGAATGATGCAGCCGAAGATTATCTGCCTACCCAGCTCGGCCTTTTGGATTTAGACGATGGTCCAACCAAGGGCAAAGGGGTGGCACATGCCGCGACAACTGGTAAACCTCTGCATACTGACTCTGCTGCCACCGGCTTGACTCCTGCCGCACAGAAATTCCAAATGGAAGCCAAGAATACCGAAAACGAAGTAAATGCATGGGGGACCCATGCTGATGGTGGTGAGTATCGCCGATATCTCGACAATAGGAGCTACGAAGATGATGGACACGAGAAGGATGATGCCGATAAAGAGGGCTATTATGGTAGGGGCGGCCGTTATTGCCGTTACAACACTGATGATGGGGAGAGCTTTGGGGCAGCGCCAAAGGTTGAAATTGAAATCGACCCGAATGCCGACATGACCGTTGAGGTGGAGATCAATTCTCATGGTTAACTAATACTATACAAATGGTCCAACTGAATACGCGTGTCTAGAGCCAAGACACAGTGACCACTCCTGGCGGCGTCACACAAGGGCAAATCTCGATGCCGGATCTGTGAAAAAAAAAAAAAAAAAAAAAAAAAGCTCTGAGTAGTACCCTATGGTTCTGGCTTGGATATCTTGTGCCTTATGAAGAACCGTTTCTCTTCATGAGTTGTTTTTCATTCCCTTTTGGTGGTTCACGGTTCTCTTTTTCCGCTCTTAGACATTGACTTGTCGATGTCTGTTAAGTTTCGTTGCCTTTCTCAATTTGAATGTTTCTAGTTATCAATGAGGGTGTTACTTTCTTTTCTTCCTTGCTCCCGTCTGCTTGGGAAGGTTTTTTTTCTTGTTTTGTCCTCTGTTGATAAAATCAGATACTTCTGTTTAACTAATTAGTGGCACTGAATGCCCATTTATTATCGATGCACCCTTTATTGTTTCAACGTTTTTACAGCAGACTTATATTCTCCGGGCTCGCTCTCGCTCTCGATCAAAAAAGAAAATTGAAAATGGAAATAAAAAAAAAACTGCTTAATTGAATCCGAAAGCAAAGGAATATTTATCTTGGAAGTCTCGAGATATTTATAAAATGGAAATGCGTACCAGCAGCGCCCCAGCAAACAGGTAAAAATTAGTCTTGGTCCCAAGATACATTACGTCCACTGCATATCGCAGTGGAGCACAATTTTACAATCCTTCCACAATCTCAACACCAATCTTAATACCCCAGGATTCACGCCCTTCCTCTTCCACAAGCCAATGCTTCTTTTTCCCAATCTTCTCAATTCGCTTCACACACTCCTTCAGAAACTCCATATCCGCAAACGAACCCTCAATATCCCCATTACAGCCGTCACCGCCATTATTCCTCTTTGGAATCTTGACGGTCAATTCTAACCCAGGAAGTTTACCCTTCCTCCCTAAACCGGTCTTCACACAACGCACTTCAAAATCGATCCGTGGACGCCGTCCTGGGATGGTGCCAGCGGGATATATATTTCCAACAAATGCAGCCAGGCGTCCGACATACCGGCACCACCAGGCTTCTTGAATGGAAACGATGCGGCGCAGACGGTGAAGGAAGGATTTGTGTTGCTCTGAGAGATCACCGGCGCAACTGTCATATAGGACGAGGGCGAGAGCAGCACGATTGACATGAGATAAACCGTGCGTAGCGCAGAGGATTCCCGTTGACGTGGAATGTAACGCTGCGGCGGAGCGGGATTCTTTGGTCGAAGAGGAGTGGGAGTACATCATATTTGCAATGGCGGAGAGGAACTCGGCATTGAAGAGTGGGGGAGGGGTGAATTTTGCAGGTGTTGAGCTTGATGAGGGGTCAGGTAGAGCGCGGGAGAGAAGGTTGCTAATTAACGGTGCCGATTCTTTACTATAAGGTAGCGTCGCAACGACGAGTGGATTCTGAAGACGGATTGCAAGGGGCAGCTTGTCGAATAGGAATCCTTCGCGCACGCCTCCCTGACAGAATCGGACGTCTTTGATCTTCGGGAGAGCGTGGGCGAGGGCGTTAATGAGGAATGCGACGGCGGGGGCTTGTGCTCTTCGTCTGTCAGAGACATGGAATATGTGTGCTATCTCTTCAGCAGCTGCAAGCGCCTCAATTGCATCGGTGTTCTGGAATGACGGGAAGGTCACCTTAAAGCCGTTGATTATTGAGATCGGGTACGGGTGTATTTCTGACTGGCTCATGAGAAGATAGCCCCAACCCCTGAATCCACCTCCGCTAAGGTACAGGTCCAAACCGCCGTTTTTCTCTGCATCGTCCTTCATTTCCTGCGGGACCTCGAGAGCCTTGTATGCTTGCCGGAAACTGGTCGTTATCTCCTCAGCCAGCCTTTTCACTGCCTCATCTCCCTCTCTTTTGGCCTCTTCCAGCTTCTTAGTCAGCGCTGCTGCGCCATATGGAAAGCTGAAACGGTGTTTCGATTGCCCTCTGGGGGACATCCAGGTGATCTGAACGCTACCCCCTCCCAGATCCATCACTACGCCCTCCACAATACCCAGGCTGCTTGCGATGCCTAAAGCTCCGATCCTACCCTCTTCTTCTCGCGAAAGCATCTGGATCTCCCAGCCTGTAGCTCTAGTCACTGCATTCCTAAACTCCTCGGAGTTTGGTGCAGTTCGAGTGGCCTCCGTGGCCAGAACATAAATGTTTGAGCTGGGGACTCCAAAATCGATGCATGTTTGCTTAAACCGTAACAAAGATAATATAACATCGCTCTGAACCTTCTCTGGGATGGGGAGTTTCTCTGCGCTGCCTTTCTCGTGTTGAGCATCATACAAAGAGATGCCCGCTCGATCCTGGAAGAGCGTTGGGATTATCCTGGCAGTTGGCGGAGAAAGATCAGATATTGAGAACCGGATACCATTACTAAATAAAACCACTGGTTAGCTTTTTGACGGATAAAATGCTTTGTTACGGCCATGTGTTTTGTTTGTGCCATAAACAAGAGAAGTGAAATATTTACCTTCCCATATCCACAACGCCATGGAGGTTGCAGTTCACGCCTTGCTTTATGACCTGCATATCTGCTGCTAATCCTGCCGCGGAAGCTAGGTTTCACGGAAGTCATCCACTCTCTATCAGGGATCAATTGCGGTTGGTTGTCTTTATGAAGAACGGTCAGCACAGAACGAACTTCCCAACAATTTTTTTTTTGTCAGTTTGTCATCAGCCTCCAATACCCATGGATGCCAGGGTTCTGACGACTGGAAATTGTGCACAGGGCGGTTTGTCAAGTGTGGGGGGGGTTTCCCTTGACATAATTCACAGATAACTCGCAACAGCGGATCTGCAGAATGATGACGAATATCGCGTTCTATCTTTATTTAACTAATTGGTGATCCTCCCGTCTGGGGCGGCCAACGCTATACACGGGCTAGCTATATCACGTGCAGCGGACGGAAGTCCAACAACCAATCAAAGGAATCATGAAAAGTTGCGGAATCCCCAAAAGACCCGCTAAGGTAAGCCAACCGGCATTTAGCTCCCGGCCCATCGTTGCCTCTTGAGGTTATTACAAATTCGAAGGAGGGTTGATTCCAAAGCAAGGATGAGCACCGAATTCTGCTTGATTGGTTGTTGGCTTCTTGTTGTGACGAGGAGCGAAAAGAAGAGAGAAAGCAGAGGTCCTACCGGCATAACATTTCGCCGTTGCATCCCAGCTTCGACGGGATCCCTAAGAGCTCATTTGTATGGAACAACCCGCGAGTAGATTCTCCCGTTGTTGAGCTGTTTGATCTTTGGTAGCTAGTGAATGTTTAAACAGAGAATTTTAATATCATTGGACTTTCAAAATCCCAGGCTCAAACCTAATCGCAACAGTATTTTGTGCTTCTGCTGAACATTGTTTGCCATCATTCGAATCCTCCTTGAGGGTAACTCGCTTTGGGCCTGTCGCCCACATCTGATTTGCCATGTTTTGCTGCCTTACCAAGAGACACCTGATAACTAACAAATCTTAATGAGATAGAGACATGTGATTGTTTTCTTTCTTCAGCGGACATCAAGTGTGTTGTTTTTGCGAGGAGCCCCGCCCACCTTTCTTTCCCCTTGACGTCGCAGAACTTTTTCTCTCTCACTGCCTCTCTGCTCCTTTTCTACTCGCAAAAATCACAACTCAACTAAAGGGTTATTACGAAGCCTAGATTTTCCATCTCACCGAAGAGGGTGTTACGCTCTGCATTTACTTCGCGCTTCGCTTCGGACTCTTTTTCACATTGTAGCGAGGTGTTCACAAGCCAGAAGTCCTCAAACCCTTTTCTAACCATGGCGGTAAGTAGAGAATTTGGTGTATTCTGTTCCGACTCTGGCTAAATATATACTGTTTTCACAGAGAGGTGACAATGCGCTCGCGGGGCGAGAAGAAAAAGACATCCCATGCCACTTTTTCCAACCGACCGATACCTATAGGAAAATATATTTCAAGGGATATTATCTCTCTATCTCCAATCCGAAAACGGGGGACAATCCGGTCCACCACGATGCAATGCTGCTAGGTCAGGAAGTTATAAAGGAGTATCAACCATTTGACGTTCCGCCTGGGTATTGCGTATACATCAGAGTAGCTAGCGTATACTTCGAGGTCCAGAACGACATTGTAACTTCCATTCCGTAGATGCTGTGGAGGGAGAGACGGTATACATCCTCACTGGCATATGAGATCGTGAGGGAGATATGCTGAGTGTCATGTATTGGGAACACCGTAGCTAAAACACTCTGTCTTCTCTAGACCTGGGCGCCTTTCCTGTATCCAAGGTTTGCTATTCTGGACTGCTGTTTTTAAGGGCTCGGGTAGCCCTGTGATGCTACTCGCTGGTGTTTGTATCTATGTACCCCTCTCAGCTGTCTGTCAGTAAGCGTTGATGTGTATGTGTTCGTGAAGTTGTGGTTGGTTTCCCGCCGCTAAATGGTCTACCACGTTCAGAGTGCGAGCTGTACCCATTACGATCGCATGTTTGATATGATGAATGGAGAGCTGATGCAATAAACCCCATATCTCACAGCCTTGAAGGTTGATCTACATCAAGGTAAGTGTTGCTAACAGGAAAGGGTGGTTGTCACAGACTCATTCCGGAATTACATGGGCTGTAGTCGACCCCTATTGTGCATCATTAGCATCAGGTAGCATCCGATGGAAATGTCACTGCCCACATTGTTGTGTGGTCATCACCAAGTGAAACTGTGTGTGTGTGTGTCAGTTATGAAATCGAACGTGCCGTCTGGTATTGCCCCAGATGTCTTCCAACTCAACGGCGGAAGAACCATTGCCCACATAAGAATAACATGAGGGTGCTGGGAACGGAACACGTCACATCTTGTCCAATTGTGTTTCTTTCTTGAATTGGCCTGCTCAGAGTTCCAAATCCGAGTCCTAGGGACTGTTGTAGATAAGCGCAAGGTTTCTCCCGAGATTCGTCAAAATAGATGAGGTTGATTGATTATTTTGTATGCTTCTCGAATTTGATTTGCGATGGCAATGTCCTAACCCCTGATGGGTTAACTAGCTCTGCAATGATAGCTGCCTGGGCTGAATCAATTCTTCTGCTCAGTTTCCGAAACTCATCCTGCTGGTCCCTTGTTGGTCGAATCTTCCTCCCTGTAAGCTTCAACACCATCGATTCCGTCTCGGGCTGCTAGCGCCTCGAATTGTGAGAGAATTAAACCTGCAGACATGATGAACCATAGATCAACAAATACAAAGATTTGATAGAGTTCTATATGGGAGATGTGTTCTATATATATCTCTGTTTGTCTGTGTGTCATTTGAGTGATTTTTATTTGAAGCCCTGCCTGCATGCTCGTCCGAACCAGGGTAGAGCAAACCTGGGGTGATCTGGTGACTTATTTCAATGTCTAGGATAAGAACGATGTCATGATATTAGTTGGTGTGACCCAACATCTAGAAGACTGGTCGCGTCGGTTTGCTAAAGAAATGAAATTTAGGAGAGGCCAACAATTTTTCATGTCAAACCCAGCAGTCATAGAGAGATATTTTCTGGATGAAGCTCATGAGGATGATATGAAATGAACACCAAATACATTGTCCAATGAAGCACTGAATGCAAAGACATCGGGCACCGGGTCCGAAGTTCAATGCACCCCATTTCGAGATTGAATTGGAAATAATGCATGTGTAGGAACCGGAAAGTTGATGTTCACGGTAATAGACTCAATCCGCTGATGCTTTTCGAGTTGAGCACCAAATGTTGAAGGAGTTTGAGAATTTAAAGCAGATAATACTGGAGAAAAAAAGTTACCGCCATCGTCATTTTGAGCAGGTTTAGGCTGCGAAGTTGTCTTGTCCTGGCCAGCAATAGCTAGATTATGGGATCCGGCAATTGAAGAAAAATGAGGATAACAGAAAGTGGGCCGAAGAATCTCAAAGGTACAACACACATTTTGATGGCACCTGGTATTCTTTTATTTTTCAGTTTTTAATTGAATTGGCCTAGAGCCTTTAATCGTCTGCTGTAACTAGCCTGTAGATCAAGGAAGATCCTGGTTAATGTGACTGACCACCCAATGATTTTTGCCACTCAATGATTTTGTAAATTCCATCTGATTCCTCAACTTCAAACCTTAACATCAAGATCAACAAAGCTGCAATTCAACTTATAATTGAAGAAGTTTGCAAGAATTTCCAAATTATAAGCAAACTGCTTTGAAATATAAATCAGTCTAACTACATTAGAAGTATAAAGATGAGTAAATCTATAGATCTAAAGCAATATCAAAATAATATAAAAAATTAATTAACTTAACAAGAAGAAATATTTATTCAATATATAAATCATCTAATAAATTACAGTATTATTTTTACATTTTAAATAATATGAAATTTAGTGACTAAATTCACTAAAAAAAATATATCGAAAAGTATTAAATAAACTAATTTTATTAGTATTATAAAAATAATTTGAAAAATTCTGATATTAAACAAATTATTTATATTAATAAGAAGTTTTTTCTTGAAAATAAACTCTTGCAACTTAGTAGCATAACTCTTTCATTTTAGATAAAGTTATAGTAATGAAAGTAAGACAAGTCTCTTAAGCCATTTGACAAATAAATCTGAGCAACCTCTGTTCTTTTCACTTAGTAAGATTGCAGTGATTTTGAAGTATAAGACTAAGCTAGAGAGTGAAAAAACTGCAAAGACTATGAAAAAGAAAGCATTTCAGCGACAATGAGCTATTTAGCCAGATCAAATGACTATTGAGAATGTTGAGCATAAAGCAACATATGAAGCAGTCTGAAAGATCACTCAGAAGACTGCAGAGATTTAAAAGTATGAAGTAACTGAATCTACAAAGCAGAAGAGCACAAAGCAAATACAGTCAAATCCGAACACACAGGGCCTATACAGACTGCTGCCTCATTAGGAAATCCACCAAATTCAGTATTAGAACCATTAGTTATCCAGCACTTCTTTACCTCCCTTTCTTATGAAAAGCAAAGTCAGCTGTTCCAGCTGTGCTGTTAAGTCAAACACTCATTTACTTTCTTAACCATACTAATTTATATGTAATCTAGAATACACTTATTTAATATTTAATAGCTAGTAGTAATTCAATTTGTGGTTATTTCAAATTTCGCGATTCAGCAGAGCCGTAGGGCAGTAGGTAGCGACATCGTTGGGTGACGGAAATCGTTGGGTGGTTATTTAACTATTAGTTAGTTATATGAGGGTGTATTATTGGGCATCCACATCATTTAGCTTAACATTCCCTCATCCCAACAATCTTTAATCAAGATCAAATTTATAAGTAGCGGTTGTTTCCGCAAACGGATCTACGGTCGAATCCTCATGCCATGTATATTCAAGGGTTACCGCCGTCTTAACGGCCAAATCTCTTCCGTAAATAGCCTGCACGAACGCCAGCATCGCATCAATCCCTGCACTAATTCCTGATGACGTCCAAATATTACCATCCACAACCCATCGCGCTTTACGCACCCACTTCACTGTCGGGTTCTCCTTTGCCACAAAGTTGAACATCACTTTGTTTGTTGTAGCATTCTTGCCATCCAGGACACCCGACTGCGCAGCCAGATATGCTCCAGTGCAAACAGTAAGTAAATAGCGAACGTGGGAATATGTATCCGCAATGAATTTAATAGTGGCTGCACTTGTCTCTTTGCACCGCGTGCCAAATCCACCGGGGACAAGGAGCACTTCGATATTCTCTGGAGGAGCGTCATACGTGTGGGTTGGGACGATAGACTGATGTGAAGTGGAATTCTGGGGGTTTGTGTTTAGGACTGGAGACTTCGTGCTGACTGGGTCCAGTGTCGGACCGATAATGGATAGCTTTATATGTTTGTCCAGAGATATGACGTTTAGGATGTCGAGCGGACCGAAAGCATCCAGGGCTTGGAAGCCTGGGAAGAGTAGAATAGCATAGTGAACGGGAGCTGAATTGATGGATGTGTTAGTCGCATCTCCGTAGAGACTGACAACAGGCACGCGATCGGCACGAGCATGGCCGTGGCAATTTGTAGCAAAAGAAATGTTGTTCAGCTCATTTGGGAATTTCGCTTTCTTCATACCTGGCTCATCCACTGTCATGGCGATGATGACTACCCAAAAAATCGATATTAATATAAAATCCAGCACTTTCAAAACAAAAGTTGAAGCCCAAGGTTGATGTTCCTGCCAACTGCCTGTCGAAACTTAAACAATGAGAATAACTGAACTAACAAGGATTCCTCTTATTTTGCTGGCAGAAACGGCTAATAACGAACAGTTGTCTGTCTAGAAAGAGAGCCAGCAATTGAAAAGTGGTGGGAAGCTTTGATAAACTCACGGAGAAATAAATTGAGCAAGCGATGCTGCCTCCTAACTTTCAGCAAAAGTTAATAAATTCGAAGTTACACGTTGTTCTGGTGATATTCGAAACTGCAGGTTATTGACAAGAATTCCACCAGAAGCGGGGTCATATATATATCTCAGCCGGCTTCCAAACAGAGCCCAGCAACAGATTACTTGAGATAGTTTCATGAGCCCGTCATCCTTATGGACTCAGCTCGTAGTATACATTGTCTAAGCGCCCTTTGATCGAACCGTGGGTCAAAAAATGCGCCAGATGTCAGTTATCACCATCCTGCCCTCCGCACTGCGCTGCATCTGACATGGGGCTTTCGAACTCTTGGCTTAACTACCAGAAGCGTTTCATGAGCTGAATAAACGGGATGAATCTGTTTTGTGCTCTTCACGTTCTATGCGGAGAATTCCCCTTTCGTAATTTCATTCCGCCTGTTGCAGGGGTAATTTGGCATCACAAAGGGACAACGGAATGCGTTTGAGGAGGGAAATCGTCCCTCGCACACTAGAAAAATCCAGGCTTCGTAGGTCGTCGGAGTTTATCAAGGTTCTCCGCCATCCACCAGCTACGCATCGAACACCATTGAAGTGACAATTGTAAGTTATTTTCGGTTAGTTACCTGAAGGGGCACTTCTGATGCTTGTCTTTGTGTCCCAGGTCTGGGACAAGCTGCGATCAGTTCTCCGTTCAAGGATCTGTTGTTCATACATGGGATGCGGGGTTAACGCAAACCGTTTGAAGGGCACGCACAGTCAATTGTTACTTGGGAGGGTCTGACGCAATTGATGTGAGTAATGCGCTGGCCAAACATTGGAAGCACGATACTAACAAGCCTTCCAAGGATAGTTAGTTGATTAACTACAGAGATTCGGAAATCCCTTGTGGATATATGGCATCTTTTTATCGCCTTCAAGGTTGGGATTTGGGTCGGGATATAAAACTTTGCTTTGCTGTTTCTGTATTTATATAACAATTGTCGTAGCTTCGTTCATTTTTTGGTTGATAATCAATCACACACATTTGGACGAACATGCAATGCTTCCAATAATTCACAAGAAAGCAATCAGAGAGAGCACTTAACCCTTCTTCCAACGTTTCCTTTGAAAACTATTTTCAAAACGTGTATTGCCCCATTTTGAAACAGGGTCGCATCTCAACAAAATTTTGAGTCTCCTGCCTGGCACAAAATAAAGTAAATAAATAAATAAATAAATAAATAATAACAAAAACGGGTGAAAGAAAAGAGAAAACTCCTTAGTCAACTAAACTTGTCCACAGATTGGCGGGAAAGTTCAAGTACCTAGGTTTACCAAAAATTCAATATCAGGATAACTGTACCAAGTCAATGTCGCTCACTGCTGGTAAATGTCTGCATTGTATACTGAAGAAAGATGTCATGGGACGAAGTTACGGGACAATTGCTTTCTTAATATGGTAAATTTTGATTTGGATCGAGACGTAGATTGACCTTTAAACTGTAGCTTGCGTAGAGCGGTATTTTCGTTATGTTGGTGAGGAGCGGGGAGAAACATGTTCTCTGGTAGCAATTCTTGTATCTTCTGAGATCAAAGGACATATTGAATGGGGAGATGGTGGTTGACGTCGCGTTTGAATGTTCCTACTTTCTCTTCCTCCCTTTCCACAATCGCCAAACGTATTTTGTCTGAACGCTGGTGGTGAAGGATTGACATAAAACACTGCATAAACAAGGCCTTGACGCTTGATTTTAACAGCATCGACCATGACCCAGTTAATGTGAGACGTGAGGGGATAAATTGCGATGTATTCAACCCAAGCAGATAAGCGTGCGAGACAGGGGTTGATCTCTCAACAAAATTCTGTTCAAAATTACAGCTGAACGAACCCTCGTTCTTCAAGTAAATTCAACAGGAGGCAAACCCCGTTCTTGAACAGCATCGCTAATATTATCACGAAGGCTCTGAAGCGCCTTAATCCATACCTCTCTTGTCTCTGTATGAACAATTGTGTTGCATACATCTAATTTTTCTGAGCTTCCACCATGGTCAGTTTTGGGTGCTTCAGTGGTGGGATTGTCTATCAGCCATGCTAACCAGCCAACTACAGCAACTGCTTTAGCTATGTCCTTCTCCTCCAGCACCACACGTTTCAAATACTTTGCGAGCGCAGCTACATCTTCTTCGTACGGAGGTTCTGTCTCAAAAGCTCCGTACCATTCATCTAATGCAATGCGTAGATCAGGGAGTGTTGACAACTTTTTTGATGTGAATGTAGGCTTTTCCGGACGTGGAGGGAGAGTAAGCTTTTTCTGTTCTGGGATCCGTGGAGTCGGTTTGTGAAATAGAGACCTACGCGTCGGTGGAGGTAGGTTAAGTCCCGCTCGCTTTTGGAGACGAGAGCGTTTGTGCTCCTTGAGTACTTCCCGCCGTATATCTTCAGGCAATGCAGCAAGGAAATCAGCAGAAATTCCACCAAGTTCAGCCTGAGGAAAACTGGGCGCATATAGAGATTCCTGGACAAAAGCTGGTGTGGTTGAAGGGTGTGATTTAATGAAACTCGACTGTAGGAGTGTGGTATTCCCAGTAAGTTTGTTAGATGGTCGCCCACGCGCTCGTCCTGTTCTGGTCTTTGTTGGGGTGGGAACCCTCTTGCTGGCTCTTGAAGCTGCAGTCCGATTACGCCTTGGCGTGCCAAACTGTGGAGACTCCGGCCGAGGACTCAGTGGTCGCTTGTAATAACCCAATACTTCCGCTCGAACATCCTCAGGTAATTCAGCAAGCATTTCGGGATCAAGCTGCGACTGAGGTGGCAACTGTGCCGCCGCCCGAGAGGGTGATTCTGGACGAGGAGACTGATTATGTTTCTGTCTAGGAGCCAATTTCGATCGAATATCCATCGGAAGCTCTGCTACCACCTTAGGGTCCACCTGTGTTGGCAGCATAAACTTCGTCCCTGTCAGGTTCAATGGTTTTTGAGAAGAATCAGTTAAAAACGGAGAGCCTTTAAACGATGCTGGCAAATATTTGCTGGATGGATCTCCTTTTCGAGGAGTGCTGATCTCATCGGGATCTACTGGAATCTCCATTTTTGGAGAAGGACTAGATGGTTTGAAACTGAGCTGCCTCTGACTGCTTTCAACCTTCCTAACGTTACTTTGTTTAACGGGTTCCAATTTTGTCATTTGAACCCCTAAACCCCGCAGATCACCGGGAGAGAATTTGAACCCCCGTAAAATTGAGATGGCCTCCCGCCCAATAATATCGCTGGCATTAGTGGCCACCCCTAAAGCGACGCTTTTGTTGAATGTATCGCATTTGCCATGTCCAAGATGTTTCACAGGTTCTAGTGGTGCATCAGTAGATCTTTTCATGATCCGCATTGTCAACTGTTTTCCCTTAACGAGATTTTCAACGAGTCTTCGATGGAGTTCATCGCATAAACTTTGAACGAATTCTTCAGCCTGGGTTTGGCTGACAAATCTAATACCCCAGCTAATCTCAGCCGATACTGACTTTCGAGGAACTTGTATTCCCACTTCCGTATTATCTATACCTCTGGCATAGTTCCATAGTTTTGCACCGGTTTTGGGTCCTAGGCTGGATGTCAACTTTTCTTTGCTAAGTTCACGGATATCTTTGACGAAAACGACACCAAGTTCTTCCAGTTTCCCTCCCAAACTGTGAGCAACACCTGGAAGATCTTTTACAGTAAGCTCGCCAATGAAATCTTGGACTGCATCAGGTTTCAGTTGAAATTGGCCAGCTGGTTTTGCTTTTCTTAGCGCAACTCTGGCCTGTAGCACGTTGCCACCAATGCCGACAGATATATTGCAGCCAGTTTGCTCTTTAACGGAATCCCGCAATTTCTGCGCTATTTCATCGGCCTTTGCCTGTTCCCGATATATTGAGCCCTCAGAAATACCAATACCGTCCGAACCGCCAGCATCAAGGCAGATGTTTGTGATATCCACAAGAGCTTCGTCGATGCTAACGCTCTGGACAATTCCATCTATTGAAAGTATAACATCATAAAAGTTTCTGCTAGCCTCTTCATATGCAGCAAAGTCGTAAGGAAGTACTTTCAAGTTTGGGCACATCTGCAGGGCACCTTTCATCCACATCCCATTTTTAATACCAAAAGAACGGGCGGGATAATTACAGCTTGCAATTTCAGACCCTGGACCGGTGCCATGTGCGATGGCGACGGGCTGGTCAGCGAGCTCGGGATGTTTTCGTATAGACACTGCAGCAAAAAAGCTGTCAAAATCGACATGCATAATGTATCTTCGTACTCCGGGCACACGTTGTCTAGCAGGTTTTCGTGTTGAACCTTTGTCTTGGGCGGCACTCTGGATCTGGGCTTTGAGTTCAGCTTTCCATGTAGAGAGATGGTGAAGACGTGATTCGCAGTAGAATTGCTGTATGAATTTGGAATTAACCACACTTGAGTTTTGATAATGAGGATCAGAGAGCAACTTCGCATTGTACACCTCAGGGGTCATTGAAGATTTTGTATCAACGTGATTCTGGAGATCATAAACAGGCCCTTGACGCTTGGTTTCTTCCGAGATTGGCGACATGCGTTGCGATGGGGTGATTCCTAGTTCTCCCTGGGGATCAGAACCAGCGATCGCCTCATCAGGAATACCGTCGTTCTGTGTGGGGAACATATCATTTCCAAGGTCACTTTCGACTGCCAAGTTTGGATCGCGGGAGGAAGGGGAAATTGCAGCGGTATCTTTTGTCCCTGATGGAGATATGGCACCAGTAGTTTCCATCTTCTCAGTGATGTCAGCAAACCCAGATTTTATCTGTGAAGTATACCAACTCGTCTCTGTATGATCCCGGTAGTTGCGAAATTGAATGTTGGCCTGACTTTGTACTCGGCCATCGCCTCCAAATGTGAGTACTTTCTGCGACTGCCCCTCATCCACAACCCTAAATTTATCCCACGGTAAAAGGCGTCCAGCTTTTACACTTTCGACCACCCATCCGGGCTTCACGATGCGGTATTTTCTGAATTCCTCTCGCTTCTTTGGTGTCAAGACGCTTGCTAATATATGGGTAGCGGAGGTTTTCCCGTCCAAATATTGAAGAAATCCTCCTCCATGACTCACGATCAAACGGTGAAGATCGTTTAGAGATGGCTGTGTGTAACCGTTAACGTGTGCTACTACTCCACGGAATATAGGCGGGTTATTGGGCGATGATGCGCGGACTTCTGCATCAAGGTTCTGTAACTTCAACTTCTTGCGTCGGAAATAGTCGCCAAAGCCACCGAAGCTTGAGCCCTCATACTCTTCCCCATCTTCATTATCAAACACATCTGCAGCGGACATATATTAGCAGAGGGAATGAATGGGATCTGGAAATTCCGTAGGCACCTACGGTTCTCGATTCTCTTGCGGACAGCGTTAGAGCCTGATTCTAGTCTTGAGCCCATGATGGGGACTTATGCAGGTATAGAGGCATATCTAACACCAGAAGTCCAGACAGAGCAACCGATTAAGGAATGCGACCAAACCTGTGGATATATCTACTTGCGGAGTTCCAAGGCTCCGAGGTTGTGACGCGCATCAACCAGGTTGACAAGAAGCAGGGGCGAAACCACATGATTTAACAACCAAACAATCGCAATAAGCGATTCTTCCAAGATATTAAGCGCCGTCAATTAATTAGTGGGGCCGCGTTTCTTATGCTAGACCAAGAATAGACTAGCGCATATCAAACTCCACTGAGAAAGTGTTTTGCAGCTTGCGACTGGTCAAAGCGTCTACTGCAGAAACTTAATAATTCTGCCGTTTGTTGACTTTGGAGATTTTTTTTTCTTCTCCTGGTCTGTTTTTTTTCACTCCTCAGCAAAACGAATAAATACCTCGCTCGCTCCCTTGTCTTGTTTTTCCTTTGAGTTTTTCCATAGACTTTCTTTTTAATCTTTAACGTCTTCGTATTTTTTCCTAGCATTTCGTCTACCTCAACATGTCTTCCACTCACCCAGTTGCTCTGTATGCCGTGAAGGTGCCACCCGGCGGTATCCTGGTCCCTGCGGCTGCAGGTGCTTCTGCCATGGTACGTACCAGTTGAGCAATCGCTGCGGTTTGGGTTGAATCTATTGTTCTGTCCTGGCCTTTATCTAACGCTTTTTTGTAACAATGAAATTAGTTCCGCGTCACTATGGCCGCTATCGATCCAGATTGTGAACCTGAATTTGATGCTGATACTGAGGGCAAGCCACCCCGCGCTACATTGAAAATCGTCCGACCACCACCAGGAATGGATCTTGACGATGATTCTGATGATAGTGATTATGAAGGAGATTCTGGGGACGAGGATGAAAACAAAGATTCAGAAGATGAGTCTAATGGAGGCCCAAGCGATCCTGCCAAACAGAAGCAAGCTAGGCAGCTTGCTGCGATGAAGGAAATGGCAGATGCTATGGATGAGGATGAGGACGAGGATGAGTCTGACGGGGATGATATTGATCTCAAGGCTGCCATTTCCAATTTAATCAAAGGAAAGGCCAAGGCCACTGGCGATGATGATGAGAATGACACTTCGGAAGGCCTTGAAATGGAAGAAGTAGTTGTCTGCACTCTTGATCCTCAGAAGGTTTGTTCGGAATGCCTCAGCTCTTCTAGATTTTTAGGAGTTTGTGAACTAATCATTGTTTTTTATATGTAGAATTGCCAACAACCCCTTGACTTTGTTGTTGCTGAGGATGAGCATATCTTTTTTAAGGTGACCGGAACACATTCTGTTTATATCACTGGTAACTACGTCATGCCTTCGCATGAACCCAATGGAATGGAGGATAGCGATGAGAGCGATGAGGAGCATGATATGCTCCAGTATGATCTGAGTCCCGATGAAGACGAATTGGTACTCATGGGTGAAGATGACGAAAGCGATGAGCTGGACAATATGGATGACCCCCGTATTACTGAAATCGACACCGATGAAGAGGAAGCTGAGAAGCCCGCTTTCAAGAAAGACAAGAAGGGCAAAAACAAGCGACCCGCAGAGGATTCAGGAGATGATGGTGCCAACCTAGACGACATGATGTCAAAGGCAGGCAAGCCTGCATCTGAGCCAATTACAAATGGCAACACCAAGCTCAGCAAGAAACAGCTGAAGAAGCTGAAGAAAAACAACGGGGAGGCAGTGGAGATACCAGTGAAAACTTCAGAGCCCACCAAGTCCGACAAGAAGGTTCAATTTGCCAAAAACCTTGAACAAGGCCCTACCCCCTCACCCCCAAAGAAAGAAGGTGACAAGAAGGCTTCTACTACCGGTACCCTTGGCGTCAAGGAGGTCCAAGGAGTCAAACTCGACGACAAGAAATTGGGAACTGGCCGCGTTGCCAAGAAGGGAGATCGTGTGTCTATGCGATATATCGGAAAACTCGAAAGCGGCAAAGTTTTTGATGGTAAGTCCCTCTCTATCTTGAACGGCCTGACCTTTTTGGTGGGTTATGTTTAACTAACCGTCTATGTAGCAAACAAGAAAGGACCACCATTCTCCTTTAAACTTGGTAGCGGAGAAGTGATCAAGGGCTGGGACATTGGAATCCCTGGCATGGCTGTTGGAGGTGAACGAAGAGTAACTATTCCAGCCCATCTTGCATATGGCAAGAAAGCCCTCCCAGGAATTCCCGCCAACTCGAAACTTATTTTCGATGTCAAGCTTCTTGACATCAAATAGATTAAGAGTCCGTATTCTAGATTCCCCTTTTGTTCTTTTGCTATCCGTTTTTTTTTTTTTTTTTTTTTTTTTTTTTTTTTTGAGATCTCCCATGAAAAGTTTTTGCTCCTAATTTTGTCTAGTATTTCATTGGAGCAGGCTGCTATTTTCTGTATTGGTGTCCATCCTATTCCATCCCCCTTTTCTTTTTCTTTTGTGTTAATTGCCGTGGGTTCCTTGATGATCTGGTGGTTTGTTTCCCCTGTCCGTCGGGATCATGGGTATCTGACTTGTATATTGCACACCGGACATTTATTAGGAATCCGAACATCATAATGGAGTTGACAAAGGAATCGGTTATTTCGCTAATTTTGCATGCTATCTGGTTTATTTTTTTTTAAGTCGATGCAAGACCCAAGGGTGTTGCAACTCTCTCTTTTGCTCAGTTTTTCATTGCCTGGTGTATGTGCTTCCTCAAAGCTGCACTATACTGTAGATTTATTTCATAATTTTATCGAAGAAATAACTACTTCGTAGTTAGATATATGAGCAATCCTGGAAGGGCGTTAGATTTTATTATGGAGCTGCCCTACGCAGGTATTAATGTTGGAGCCTAGGCTTCCTATTATGGACTAGCGCACCGCACAATAGTATATAGCATCCCTGAGATAGGCTACCAATACCACTTCAGACGTCCAACAATTAAAGTGTTTAAGACCTTAGGGCTTGCCTCAACACGTGATGTCGGGGTATCCGGCGATTTGAACAGCCCCAATTTCTTTTGGTGTTCACTGCGTGTCTCTCGTTTCTACCTATTTTCAGATATACTGTGTGAGACAAATTGACTGGATGGTTTGACCGTTTGAATATGCGCTGTTACATCACTATCTCGAATCCGAGTTTTAGCCCTTGAAATTTCCAATCCCGCTGTACAATTTCTCTTTAAGATACAGTGTCAGCACCTCATAACCTCCCAAGGGTCCGCAGTGAAGGGGGAGAAACCTCTTATACCAATCAGTTCTTGGAAGAAAAAGGCCCAAAGCAACGTGTTGTCTCCAGGGTGCACAAAATGGAATTTTACCTCCCGCTAACAGAGTCGTAAGATTGGGTCAACCCGACGGAAATCGCTCCAGTTCTTTAGCAGAACCTCGAGTGCTCTCTTCGGAAAATGCAAAAACTATTATCTATTAATATTATTCGAGTAGATGAAATGCCCTACCTGGGGTCCACTGAAAGGCCACTCGCCACCGATGGCGCATTTTTAAGATCACAGACCTCCCTGCGAGCTGTTTTCATGATTGACAGCAAGTTCATATCCTTCATGGTTGCGAACCTGTCGAGCAAGAGACTGGGACTAATCCCAGTACCTGCCTTGAGGGATCAGGTTCTGATGTTGGAATTCATGTTGCGATTGTGATCCGATTGCTCAATCCGACAGACAGCGATTGAAACGGGTGAATCGAGCCTTGACCATCTGGGTCCCGGACCAACGCTGTTTCTCCAAGCGGAACAACGGCTAATGGCCCGCAGAAAGACTTGGAAAGGAAATATAATGGTCAAACCCATGTTGGGATTGATTTACCACTTTTCTTCCAAGAGAACATACATACGACTAACTAATGCTCTGGCTCTTCACGGGCTTGGTACAGGATTCGCACGCACTATGATCCTCAGCGTACCACCGCAAAATGGTATTACCTCTACCAACTAGGGTATCCGAAAATGAACTGTTCGCTTGAGATGGAAATGGTTCGAAGAGAAGATTCTGCAGACAATAGGCACACCGGGCTTGTCGTGTCGGATGATACGCGTGAATGCAGCACGCTGTGCTTCTTCTGCTACAGTTTCTTACCTATCATGGAACAAGAACCTCCGACCACTCGCTGGCAGCGGGGGCAGCGCTTTCCTGGCGCCGTGTTTCCACATGCTCACCTCCCTCAGTATGGACATAGATATACGACAGCGCAGTGAATCGTTTGTTCGCATTTGCCTTCTGGGATGTTGTATTGAATTCTATTACTCAGCAAGAGGGAGAGAACTGGATGACGGTTGTGCTTGCTAGTTGTGAGTTGTGCGTCACTTCCTAGTGTGGGAAGGCCTCTCAGCTCCAAAAAGAGAGAAAGAAAAAAAATTCTGTCAACGCATTTTACAGACTTCAGCTTCATCATCTTATATATCAACATCGTTGGCCATTTTATGGCACTAGCAAAGCTGCAGTCGCTATCATACAAATTCTTTTTCATTATTTCATAACTTATTCACGCAGCCAGAGGTATTTGGCTCCCTCTAGGCTCGCGTCACTAACATTCTTTTCACATATGATTGCATCTGATGTTTCAGTTGGATTATGACGACTGGTCAAAAGAGGAAGATACGGACGTCCAGAAGCTTTTTTGGACTTCTTTCTCCGAATAAGGTCGTCATCCTCGAAGGAGACGCCGATACACGTTGCATTGGCTCGCTCACATCAACTTCGGACGGAATTGCGGCGGGTTCTGTAGGCAAGGAGAAAGTCAAGGCTTTCATCAAAAGAAAGAGCTCAAGTCTGTTATCCATGCTGAAGTTGCGAGGCAGCGGAGGTAGTTGCACTCTTCCTCCATTTATATGCAACGTTTTACTTACACTCATTTATAACGTGTAGACTCCCGATCATCCACGCGGAGAGGATTCTACCAGGGGAGTCCAGATGCTCAACCGGGAGGAGACCTCGCATCTTTTGGGCCGACTGCTATGCCCAATGAATTTCCCCCACTGCAAAAGACACCATACGGCGAGTTGGGGGCCAATTCGCCGTCTCCGATATATATGCAAGAGGGATCTTCTAGGGTGTTCTCGCGGCTGGCTGCAATTTCACCATACGTTGACCGCGAGGGAGCGCAGCAAACGTGTCCAGGAAAGTATTTGGAGGTTCCTCAGACACAAGACTTGGCAGAAACGAACGACAAGCATCCCTTGTTCCGCGTTCGTCGGAGTCAGTCAAGTCCGGGGCTCTCGCATCGGCTCTCTCAGAAGCTGTCAATGACTTTTGTCCAGCCAACTGTTGTTCATCGTGCCAACCTACGATCAAGGCCTGGGATCCCAACTATACCAAGTGTGCAGGCCCAATCCAGTACAGTTGGCCCCGACAAGCTTCGAGATGAACCGCAGGATGACTCCGATCCGTCTACAGCTACCCAAAGCGGAAGTGGCTCATCTCCATTCAGCCAGTCTACAAATCCGACTTCTGATGGCACCCCAACTTCATTGCAGTTTGCAAAACCTGAAAATCTGAACGGCAGTAACAAAACACTGGATAAAAGTGATCTGGTATGTACCAGTTCTGACCGAGAACTGCAGCATACGAACGAGGCCCCCCCTGTTGTTCCATCCATACTCACTGTCGAAGCAACTGCAACTGCGAAGATATATTTTGAAACTCATTTCAGCTCGATTTTTTCAGGCGATAGCCCGCGTGCACAGCGATATCGGGAGTTAGAGGAGAAATTGTACTCGTTACCCCTCACTTCAGAAGAGCGAGCAAAAACTCGACAGGCCTGGAACCGCCAGGAATCTGAGTACCTGCGCCAAGACCGCGTTCTCAAAACGCGCTGCAATTTCCTACGAAACGGTGAGAGTGTCTTAATCGCGGGTTATGAAGTCATTAAGGTCCTCGGGAAGGGCAGTTTTGGTGTTGTGCGTCTCGTCAAAGAAAAGAGCATGGATTCGCATAAAACAGCTGTCGCAGATGCTGGGAGGGCCACCCCGAGGAGTGACCTAAGCTACATCAAAGCTAGTGCGATTGAAACCTTGAGATCAGCGGTGGATGTGAGAACATCTCGTCGGAGAGATATCAGCAAAATGAAAAAAGAAGTTTACGCCATGAAAGTCATCCGCAAATCTGAAATGCTGAGGAACTGCCAGGAGGGACATCTGCGCGCTGAGAGAGACTTTCTAGTTGCATCTGAGAAATCTAGATGGATTGTACCACTCATTGCAAGCTTCCAAGACGTCAATAATTTGTATTTGGTCATGGATTACATGGTTGGGGGAGATTTCCTGGGTCTGTTGATCCGGAAAAATATACTGTCTGAAGATGTAACGAGATGGTATGTGGCAGAGATGGTGCTTTGTATCGAAGAAGCGCACAGACTCCGGTGGATACATAGAGACGTGAAACCCGACAATTTTCTCATTTCTGCTTCCGGACACTTGAAGATTTCTGACTTTGGGCTTGCGTTTGACGGTCACTGGTCTCACGATCAGTTGTATTTTAATAATCATCGACATTCTTTGCTTAAGAAGCTGGGTATCCATGTCGACGGCGATTCACAGGATCAAAAGGAAGCAGCTAAAGCTGCGGAGCTTCAACACGAGAAAGGCAGCAACAGATCTTCTGGGACAAGCGAAGATGGCGCTCCTGAAATACGTGGACCTGGTCCGAACGAAGACATCTTGCGCTGGAAGAATTGGAAGGAAATGAGGAAGCTTGCAAGAAGTGTAGTAGGTACAAGTCAATATATGGCCCCTGAGGTTATACGTGGCGATTTATATGATGGCAGGTGTGACTGGTGGAGCGTTGGTGTAATTCTCTACGAGGTAACTAGTTAAACGTCAAGCCCTCTATTACTTACTATGGGTGTCTAACTAATCACCAGTGCCTGTATGGGTTTACCCCGTTTGCTGCCGAAACCCGCCATGACACCAAAGTCAAAATTTTGGTAAGATAGGGATGAACCTTCTAATTTGATTACTCCTCTGACTTAATGATAGAAACACCCGGAAACACTATACTTTCCAGTCGAAAAGGCCTCAGACAGATTAATATCTGCCGAAGCAATCGATTTGATTGGACAGATGCTCCAGGAGAAGGAATACCGCCTATGCTCGAGAAAGTATATGCTGAATGACTATGTCCACTCAAAGCGACTTCCTGGAGAGCTTCTTAATCGCCCAGCGGACAAGCATAGCAGAAATTATCAAGGATATTACGTCTATCCTGATGATGCTGGTGATATCAAGGACCATCCGTTTTTCAGAGGTATTAGATGGGAAGAACTTCATTATCGCAAACCACCATTTGTTCCCAAAGTGAAAAGCTGGGAAGACACAAAATATTTCGAAGATGAAGAGCCGATCAGTGACGTAGAAGATGGCTCGAGCCATGGCGATTCTTGTCCTGAAACCGAAGCTCCCGATCCGGCTGCTAACAACCTGGATTCAAGCCGTACAGTTCATGTGATGGACATCGGAGCTCAAACTGACGGTCCTAAGGCGTCAAGCATGAAGGAGGTACTGAACAAGAACGGCAAGGCAGAACTTGAGGGTAACGGACAGGAAAAAACTCACAAGAAGAAGAAAGAGCGGAAGCGGCCAAGGGACAAAATTCTACGCGACGAAACGATCGGTCGGCAGGCGCTGAATCTTCGCAAAAGAGGGGCATTTTTGGGATATACGTATCGACGTCCCAAGGACTTTCTGCTTGGGTTTGAGAATGAGCGTGGGAGATCTTTGGTCGGACACGTCGAACGTTAAGCGCTAATAATTCAGTCTATGGGACCTACACATATGATTCCTTTTCTTTCTTGTCCACAGAGCAATGGACACCAATTCACACCGCTTGTTAAACATTCCCAATTGTTTCGTGGCAAGTAGTCTATGCCTTTCACTTTCTGAAATCAGCACCCCCTGTGTATGTTTTTTGGACATGAGTTATTTTGCTTTTGGCATTGGTCACTCGTTTAGCCTAGTTACTTGGGGTTGCTTCTTTATCTTTATCCGACTGCCACGCTATAGAGTGCGAGATCGGCGACGTTATTATTGTTAACCTCCAAGGAAAAAGGAGATAAGGGGTTCTCAGAGGGCACCGTCTATTTACGTCCACTTGTATTCGTGGACATTGCTAGAACAGCTTCTACAAGGATTGAACACGGAACTCCTATTCTGCTCAATGGCTCAATGTAATACCTTCCAACATTGATCTTCCTTAGCAAACTGGGCTCTCTTCCACGCGCCAGGGATATGTAGTTTGTATCGTAAACATGTATGTACAGCTACCCATGTAGGAAAAGATGAAAGAGCAAAAAAAAAATATACCGTGGTATCTTTCCGGCCGTTGCCCCCGATGTTGTCTGTCAGGTTTATTGTTCTTTGATCCATAACAACCGCAGAAGGAAAGGAAAACAGATAAACAAAACGGAGTGAGTTAGTATGCATGAACCGATACGTAGCTTGTGCATATGTGATGCGAGAAGTGTGGAAATTAAAGGACTTGTTTGGGGGAGGAAGGGGGGAAGAGTTGTTAAATACGATATATGAAACCACTGAAGACAACTTTGAGTTAGCGATAGGACAATGGGGAGCTATAAGTAAATACAAATAAACACTAGAAAGTGGGGAAAAGGAACCATCGACCAATTTCAAGGAGGAGCACAGTTAGTGAGGCGGAGGGAACGTCTCATGGGGGAGGTATGGGGATATTGAGCGCTGTCGGATGGTGTGCTGTGGTCAGTTACAACTGTGGGTAAGCTTAATCCCAGAGCTAGCCTGTGGATGTTTCGTGGAATTAGAGATAGGGAAAACGGTATTCGCAGATTCGACTATAGCGCTGGAGGTGCTCCCATGGCAAATGCGGAGCCGCTAGTACCGTCTTCGGCCTTCATCGTACCGTTCAAGAGGGGACAGAGCCTAAATGTGGTGAGTGGCCAAAATGATAGGGGTTTTAGGTCAGTTTATGATCAAAAGATGAGTTGGGGGTTGTTATTTCATTTCCGGGGATTGATAAGATGAATATTTAGCGCACTTTTTGTTGGTTTTGATGTGTCCGACTTGACCACAGTTTGCGCATTTTCTTTGCGTCCCTCCTCCCTTCGGGCCAGTCGCGGACGGGGAGGCCACAGCCCCAGGGGACCTTGCGGGGCTGTCAGTCGTGATGCCTTTTTGTCTCTCGCGGGCATGGCGACGCTCCTTGTTGCGTTGAAGGCGTTGAAGTTCGA